GATCACTCAGATACACGAGCGGACATTCCGTACCTCGGCCTCGTGATCTGTGAGAGAAGGGCTCCCAGAATCGCATGTTGACACCACGATCTTCTCGGTGGAGAAGACCTTTATTTTTTTTTTTTATATTTTAATTTTTTATAAATTCAAATTATTTATTTTGAAAATTGACTCTATAAGAATCAGCACTTCAATAAATTGTAGATAATAATTACATAGCATTGGAAGATTTAACTGATCAATATTTAGATACTTTGGGTTACATTAACAATAAGAATTAAAATAGTTGTTTGGTTAAGACATTATTAAGTATGAAAACAAGCAATACATAATAATCAAGTAGCAAAGATTCTGATGAGGAAGATAATTAAGTACCTATAAGAAATTCTGCAAAAAGTCATAATATAGAAAAGAAAGTTTAGTTTCTACAAGTATCCCCTGATTCTGATTATAAGGACTTTAGTAAACAGACTTCTAAAATGCAACATATTAGAGCTAGCAGAAGAACATTTATTAAATTATCATAGATTCAAAGTCATCGTGGTAGTACTGTATCAGCTATATCTTAAGATCTATCTAATTTGGGATAAGTATTATAACAAAATTCTTAATCTTCAAATTCCTATACAACTTAATTACAATCATAATAAATTAATTAGCCTACTTAATAGATGTAAATTCATCATGCTAGTTTATCTTAAAAATCTAGATAATTAAAAAAAGGCAATTCTACTTCATATTAAAATATTGATTAACAGATGGCACAAATGAGAAAATCTTAGTAATTTTAATCAAGACCAGATTAAAAATAATTTTCACTATCCATGATTTAAGAAGCTAGCAATAGTAGATTAGATGAATTAACTTATTAATCAAGATAAAGAATAGATTTTGATATAGATTAATGTTTTAATACAAAACATTATTTTATTTAATTCAATTTGGATGTTGTTTTAATGAAAGTGAAAAGACCAAAGAAGACATAGAGACATGCTGCTTAAATATTAAGTGTTATAGAAAAATCAAAAATTAGATAATAATAGCGTTTGTGAAAATAAAAATTATAAAATTCGAATATTGATAATATAATAATTCTTTTATTTAACAATATTAATTGTAATTCTTATGTTGTTTCTTAGATATTTAATAAAATCTAATAGATTGATAAAAATTAGTGTATTTAGGCAAAAATATTATTGAATATTTATTAAATATTAAATAATTAATTATAAAATGGGAAGAAATAAAATTGACATTCAATATATAAAAGATGATCGTATTAGAAATGTAATTTTATTTAATTAAATGCTTGTTCTACTATTTTTAGAACCATTATATAATTTATAAACTTATAATTATATTTTAGATAACTTTTAACAAAAGAAAAAATGGATTGTTGAAAAAGGCTTGTGAATTAGCAGTGTTGTGCAATATCAAAATGCTTTTGTGTTTTACAGATTTAAGTAAAATTAAATAGAATCTATTTTTTAGGTGGTACTGTTTATTAATTTATGTCTAATGAGAATACCGAATTAGAATTAATATCATCAAATCACAAGAAGATTTTCACAAAATAGGATGTATTTATAATATTTATATAATAAGTATCCTGGATTCCAAAAAAAGAAAGATAATGAATCATTATCTGAAGCTGAAAGTGAATTAAGTATAGAATAAAAAAGAACAAGAGCATAAGAACATTTAAATTAATAACATTTATTTATTTAGTAATCATAACTTATTTAGCAAAATCAATAATATCATAAAGGTTAATAATAAATGAGTTTGAGAAATAAAGTTTTGGAGAATAATGATAAACAAATTTAATAAGAATCAAGAAAAATTGTTAAAATTGAACCTAAATAAGAAGAATTTGATTAATCAAAAAATAAATTATAAGCCAAAAATAAGAAAACAAATGATGAGATTGCATTCAATGATATTATTGATCATTAATAAGCTAGAAATTTTGATGATCTTTATTAATGTGGTAATTAATTAGATGATTAATCAAATTCCCCTTAAGATTAATAAGATTATAAATAATAATTATCTATGTTTACATCTTCAAATCCAATCAAATTAATGAAAATGGATAGTTTATTAAATGGTAATAATAATAGTAAACCACATAATTTTCTGAGTGATTAATACAATAAGTTTTTCAATAAAGATAGAGTAAAATCTATTTATATTAATTTAGATTGATTCATTAAATAATAGTAAAGTCTTATAACCAAGTGTACAATTCATAGTACCTCCTTAAGTTTATTTTAATATAACACCATCTCCAATCAATTAAGCAATGAATAAAATTTATGTTGGTGTAGATGAACCAATGGAATTTAATCTAGGATAATCTCAGTATACTGATGGATTTAAAAAATATACTAAATGAACAATAAAATTAATCATTTAATATAAAAAAATAAAATATATTTACTTAGATATATATATAAATTTGTCTTATTCAAAAATTTAATACAAAATAAGAAGTTATTTCATTCTCATAATATAAGTGTGAATATTTTATTTACAACATAGATTAAATTAGATTATTATTATGATTTAAAATAATATAATATATTTTTATATACAATTATTATTAAAACGGATTACATTATTATTTTAAATAGTCTATGTAAAAACTCTTAGCTTTGATTTTGTCTATATCAATAGTCTATTCAATAGACCCAAGTATGGTGTAATTGAGCACAGAGAAAATAGATGAGTTATCTTAAAACAATTTAGGAAAATTTATAATAGAAATGGCTTAAACACATGCTGAAATGAGAGGACCTCTTGGTATCAATGAGTGAGTAATAAAAATTTAGATGATTTGGTGACAGCAATTGGTGACTTAGAAAATGAATTGACTATTGAATTACAATAATTAGAAGACGATTTTACAAGATCAACTAATTAACATCAAGTGACTTAAGAAAATCTAGATATTAATATTGGTTAAACAGAAATCAATATTTTCAATTAAAAAGATTTTATTGATGCTATCCTATTACCAAGCATTGATTAAACTAATTCCAAAATTGAAAGATTAAATGGTTTCATTAATGATAACAGAGATTCATTATCCAGAGAAACACTTGCAAGATAAAATCAACATTAAGCATATTTAGATAGAGGTATTATTAAAAACAATATTTAGTTAGTGAACATTAAGGAGCAATTAGTGCTGTTGATGAAGCCTTACAATTGATTAATTCATTAATTAATGGAAATATTTCCTTTTCAGAAAAAGCAACAATTCATTAAGCAGTCAAAAGAATCAATACTAAAATATAAAAAACCAGCGTAATTCATCCACTTGTTGAAGCTTTACTTTAATTGACATAGAATTTTTCAGATTAAGGACAAGCTAAGAAAATTAAAGATTTATTATAAGACACAAGAAATCAATTAGTTTCTAGTCTTAATTAAGTATAAAATATATATATATATAATAGGAAAATACTGATGAATAATAAATCTAAGAAACTTGGGAAGCAAGATAAAAGACTTTAAATACAGAATATTAAGAATTTAAACGTTCTGTATTAGAAGCTACATATGTCTTAGCAGCTTATTAAAGTATGTGTTTAAATTTAATATTTAGATAAATTGAAATCCACTCAAGAAGCTTTGGCATAAAATGAATAAGATTTACAAAATTATTAGGATTCTTTATGTAAAAATGATAGACCATATGTATATAGAATAGGATAAGGATGCTTAAGCCTAAGAAATCTAAATATATAATGAATTGAAGGCCCAATATCAAATTTAACTCCAAACTACTAGAAATGCCAAAGAGTTTGTTAATTCTGCTGAATTTAGTACTGTTATTAGAAATAAGTTAAATTCAGGAGGATTAGTTTGATAAATGACATATTCATCTATAAATTGCATAAAATTTAAACAATAATAATCATGATAAACAAAAGTAACATTCATAATAATTTAATTTTTATTATTAAATTTTTATTATAAAAATGATAAAAAACCTACATAGGACAGTTATTATTAGAACATCAAATAGTCGTAAACAATCAACTTCATCTAATGATTCTGATAGTACTTCAACAAAATCAGAAATTAAATTTAAATAACCAATATTTATTTAACAGCCTCTTTAACCATTAAAAGAAGTCAGCGAACCTAATACTCCAGATACTTTGAATTTTCCACAAACATAAAAAGTTTCTTCTAGAAAGTCTAGATTCTAAAAGCCTTCAATTTAGATCAAATAAGACAGTAGTAGTTCTTCTTCAGATTCTAGTTCAGATGCATCAGAACATAATGTTTGGGATGATGATGAAATATTATTAAAGGGAGTTCATTTAGGAGAGTTATCATATTTATCACCAACAGATGAATTGTAAATGCTCTATAAAATACGATTTGAAACTTACCCAAATAAAAAAGAATAGATCTCAGAAGAATAGTTGGCCTTAGAAACATAGAAATTAATAAATAAATTGAAATTTCATTATTTGAAATATAAAAAGATCTTGCCTCTTGAGAATCTGAAAGATTATACTTAAAAATATAATATTAATGATGATTTGAATTATATGAGATTTTGGGATTATTTCAGAGTTAGAACAAACCATAGAAAACACAAATAAGTTATCATGCCAACAAAAAATACAAAAGAAAATAGAAGCTAATAACCCTTAAATCCAACAATTAGAAGTCAATAGCGAATTAAAACTGAATATAGAATTAAGAGTTTGATTACAAGAAGATTATGATAGAATTTAAAATATATACTTTTTATATTCAAATAATCTTATATCATCTCTTTTAGCAATCTTTTAATTATAAAGTAAGAAAGTTTTATATTTATTTGTTCCATATTTGTAGGAAAACTCTTTAATTAATTTTTCATTATTCATTTTAAATTAAATTTTGCAGAGAAGTTAATCAGTCATCTCCTCTATTTTACTTAAAGATTTCTTAAATCTATGTAAATTCTCTTAAAATAATATCATTTCCTTACTTTTTAATAGTTTATAAAAATTTTAGTATATTTTGAAATAGAGAGAGATTTTAGAAATTATTGACTAATCACAATAAAAGGGAGTCTATAATCTAGAAACATTTTAATAATCTTCAAACAAAATGATCTTTAGGTATTCATAATAGCTAATTATATGGAATAACCAATCATATCTATTCTTGTAATACAGCTATTATCCATTCTTATCTCTTTCATATTTATTTATTTTCTATATAATTTAAACAATATATTTGTTGTTCATATTTCTATTTCTTATATAATAATATTTGTTTTTTGATATATATTATATTTATTTNTGATAAATGACATATTCATCTATAAATTGCATAAAATTTAAACAATAATAATCATGATAAACAAAAGTAACATTCATAATAATTTAATTTTTATTATTAAATTTTTATTATAAAAATGATAAAAAACCTACATAGGACAGTTATTATTAGAACATCAAATAGTCGTAAACAATCAACTTCATCTAATGATTCTGATAGTACTTCAACAAAATCAGAAATTAAATTTAAATAACCAATATTTATTTAACAGCCTCTTTAACCATTAAAAGAAGTCAGCGAACCTAATACTCCAGATACTTTGAATTTTCCACAAACATAAAAAGTTTCTTCTAGAAAGTCTAGATTCTAAAAGCCTTCAATTTAGATCAAATAAGACAGTAGTAGTTCTTCTTCAGATTCTAGTTCAGATGCATCAGAACATAATGTTTGGGATGATGATGAAATATTATTAAAGGGAGTTCATTTAGGAGAGTTATCATATTTATCACCAACAGATGAATTGTAAATGCTCTATAAAATACGATTTGAAACTTACCCAAATAAAAAAGAATAGATCTCAGAAGAATAGTTGGCCTTAGAAACATAGAAATTAATAAATAAATTGAAATTTCATTATTTGAAATATAAAAAGATCTTGCCTCTTGAGAATCTGAAAGATTATACTTAAAAATATAATATTAATGATGATTTGAATTATATGAGATTTTGGGATTATTTCAGAGTTAGAACAAACCATAGAAAACACAAATAAGTTATCATGCCAACAAAAAATACAAAAGAAAATAGAAGCTAATAACCCTTAAATCCAACAATTAGAAGTCAATAGCGAATTAAAACTGAATATAGAATTAAGAGTTTGATTACAAGAAGATTATGATAGAATTTAAAATATATACTTTTTATATTCAAATAATCTTATATCATCTCTTTTAGCAATCTTTTAATTATAAAGTAAGAAAGTTTTATATTTATTTGTTCCATATTTGTAGGAAAACTCTTTAATTAATTTTTCATTATTCATTTTAAATTAAATTTTGCAGAGAAGTTAATCAGTCATCTCCTCTATTTTACTTAAAGATTTCTTAAATCTATGTAAATTCTCTTAAAATAATATCATTTCCTTACTTTTTAATAGTTTATAAAAATTTTAGTATATTTTGAAATAGAGAGAGATTTTAGAAATTATTGACTAATCACAATAAAAGGGAGTCTATAATCTAGAAACATTTTAATAATCTTCAAACAAAATGATCTTTAGGTATTCATAATAGCTAATTATATGGAATAACCAATCATATCTATTCTTGTAATACAGCTATTATCCATTCTTATCTCTTTCATATTTATTTATTTTCTATATAATTTAAACAATATATTTGTTGTTCATATTTCTATTTCTTATATAATAATATTTGTTTTTTGATATATATTATATTTATTTTTTAATTATAAAAGTGGGTTTTTAGTAAATTATAGTATTATATAAATATCCTTATAAATATTATTCTTTACCTAATGGATAAAAATAACAGAAGTTCTAAGATTGAAATAGTTTAGGGTTAATTCAGAATATTGACTAGAGTTAAACGAAGGATATCAATTGATTTATTCTAAAGCTATTATTCTCAAACATTGAAAATTGAAAATATAGAACCTATTAAAGATAATTAAAAAAAAAGAAGAAGTAGAAGCTATTCAAATTCTATTTCTTTTTATGGTTAAGTTTCACATATAAAAGAGACTTCTTAAGATGGCCCAAATGAATTCTTTGAAGACTAACTGAAAGATAATTTCGATAATAGTAGCAAATCATAGATATCATCAAAGTTGACAAATCCAAATTATAGAAAATATGATCTGAATAACATTTATGAAACTCGAAAAAATGAAGTGGATTTCAGAAAATATAACTAAGATTTTTACTTGGATGTTCTCTAATTGGAAACTTTATATTATTAGCTTTCAAAGTTTGGGTTTCAGCTTTCTGCTCCTTTATAAATTCCGCCTTATTTAAGCTAATTCATATATTCTTTAATTTTGTATAGAAGTGATATAAAAGAAATTTTGCCTTAATATGAAGATATTTATAGAAGAGATAAATATAACTTATTGTTAAGGAAAATGTAAAGTAAATACTTAAGAGAGAAACTCTTTCAATAATGCATGTCGTAAGTTTCATTTGATAGTGAATTAGATATAAACTATAATAATGAGTTTATGATTTTTATGTATATGAATTCCTTTATTCATTAAATGAATCTAGATTATGAGGTTCTGTTAGACGATTATTTGAAGTACTTTTAATTATCTAACCTTTAAAAAGATAAAATAGAATAATCTTTGAAAGAAGAATATATTCATAGAAAAAATAACATAGCTTTTGGAAATATCCGATTTGTTTTCAAATAAAAGGATGGATTACATATTGATTTTAAATAACCAATAGGGAAATTTGAAGATAAATAATTTTGTGATTATGTTTAATTTAAGATAGAATTTGCAAAATAAATATCATAAGTTGAATCAATTAGGTCTTTTAAAAAACATAACACTGAACCCCATAGTGAAAGAACATTGATATTATTTCTTTTAGCAGATATTGAACTAAATAAATCAATATTTAAGAATTTAAATTAGGATTTGGTGAATTAAAAGTAGATAGGTATTATTGAAAACCTTACTAAAATATACCTAGAGATAACAACTGAGAACAGAGTTTGCAGTAGATGTGTCAACATGTTTTAACATATACCAGTTGAATTTATTTGTGAGCAATTTAAATAAAGTTTTGGTTTTAAAATAAACATCATTTTTTTTATTTATTTATATATAATTATANCATATTTATTTATTTTCTATATAATTTAAACAATATATTTGTTGTTCATATTTCTATTTCTTATATAATAATATTTGTTTTTTGATATATATTATATTTATTTTTTAATTATAAAAGTGGGTTTTTAGTAAATTATAGTATTATATAAATATCCTTATAAATATTATTCTTTACCTAATGGATAAAAATAACAGAAGTTCTAAGATTGAAATAGTTTAGGGTTAATTCAGAATATTGACTAGAGTTAAACGAAGGATATCAATTGATTTATTCTAAAGCTATTATTCTCAAACATTGAAAATTGAAAATATAGAACCTATTAAAGATAATTAAAAAAAAAGAAGAAGTAGAAGCTATTCAAATTCTATTTCTTTTTATGGTTAAGTTTCACATATAAAAGAGACTTCTTAAGATGGCCCAAATGAATTCTTTGAAGACTAACTGAAAGATAATTTCGATAATAGTAGCAAATCATAGATATCATCAAAGTTGACAAATCCAAATTATAGAAAATATGATCTGAATAACATTTATGAAACTCGAAAAAATGAAGTGGATTTCAGAAAATATAACTAAGATTTTTACTTGGATGTTCTCTAATTGGAAACTTTATATTATTAGCTTTCAAAGTTTGGGTTTCAGCTTTCTGCTCCTTTATAAATTCCGCCTTATTTAAGCTAATTCATATATTCTTTAATTTTGTATAGAAGTGATATAAAAGAAATTTTGCCTTAATATGAAGATATTTATAGAAGAGATAAATATAACTTATTGTTAAGGAAAATGTAAAGTAAATACTTAAGAGAGAAACTCTTTCAATAATGCATGTCGTAAGTTTCATTTGATAGTGAATTAGATATAAACTATAATAATGAGTTTATGATTTTTATGTATATGAATTCCTTTATTCATTAAATGAATCTAGATTATGAGGTTCTGTTAGACGATTATTTGAAGTACTTTTAATTATCTAACCTTTAAAAAGATAAAATAGAATAATCTTTGAAAGAAGAATATATTCATAGAAAAAATAACATAGCTTTTGGAAATATCCGATTTGTTTTCAAATAAAAGGATGGATTACATATTGATTTTAAATAACCAATAGGGAAATTTGAAGATAAATAATTTTGTGATTATGTTTAATTTAAGATAGAATTTGCAAAATAAATATCATAAGTTGAATCAATTAGGTCTTTTAAAAAACATAACACTGAACCCCATAGTGAAAGAACATTGATATTATTTCTTTTAGCAGATATTGAACTAAATAAATCAATATTTAAGAATTTAAATTAGGATTTGGTGAATTAAAAGTAGATAGGTATTATTGAAAACCTTACTAAAATATACCTAGAGATAACAACTGAGAACAGAGTTTGCAGTAGATGTGTCAACATGTTTTAACATATACCAGTTGAATTTATTTGTGAGCAATTTAAATAAAGTTTTGGTTTTAAAATAAACATCATTTTTTTTATTTATTTATATATAATTATATTTATTTTAATATAATACACATTTTTGATAATAAGAATCAGATAATGAATTAAGGATGGGAAGTAAATGAGGACCACTACTTGGAACATTTGATATAAAATCCTTTACATTTTTAAAGAAAAGTATCACAATAGTTAGAGAAACCTGCTATTGTTGTAACTTAAGAATCCCCTAAAACAAGGATGAGATTCAGAACAGCATCTATTCCTAAATTAGAAAATAGTGGTAAACCAAATTCTCCAATAAAAAAATCAGTCATAGAACCCTAATAAAAAGGGGAATAGCAAATGAAATATCAAGCATCTCCAAAAATTTTAAAAACTCCTTTAAGATAATAGAAATTATAATTATTTCCATAGCGAATATCTTTAAGATCCACTCTTTATCAAAAAACTCCAATGGAGGAAAGCAGCCCAATAAAGTTGGGGAGAACTCTTTAACCAAAACAATTCAATCCAATTTTGTAGAATGTCAATGAAACACATTATAATGGTTTAAAAGGATAGACAAGGTCAGTTAAGAGTGCATCAATGAGCAACTTATTGAACAATGAGGAGCGTTTATAATACAAAAAGAGAATTGAAGATTTTGTTTTCAAATTGAGACCATAAAGAAATGCTAGTATTTTATATGTTAATTCATAAAATTCTGTATAAAGTATTTCAGATGATACTCTAATAAGAAAAACTTTAAAATGATTGAATTTAATTTATATTCGATGACTTTTTTTCAATTATTTAGTATTAGATATTTTAATGTATTAGAAAATAAACAATTAGATTAATAAATCTATTTACATTTAGTGATTAGATTAATTAATCTAATTGATATAAAGATTATTAGAATGGAAAATGATCAAAAATAGAACAATTAGTAAGTTAGGAATATTAAAAGAAAATTGAAAATTAGTAAATTGATTTATTAATTATATACTTATGAATCAAATCGTTTCTGGGATTCAATTTAATGTAGGGCCTAGATATGATGTTAAAAAATTACTAGGAGCTGGGGCTTATGGACATGTTGCATTGGCTATAGATAAGAAATAGACAGACCCTGATTATTAGAAAGTGGCTATTAAGAAACTACACCTGGTGAGAGATGAAATAGATGCTAAAAGAGTTTTAAGAGAAATAAGAATATTACGAACAATGAAGCATGAGAATATTCTTCGCTTAGAACATTTGATTTATGATGACTCAAATAAAGAATTAGAATTTGGAGAGATTTATTTGGTTACCAATTATATGGAAGTTGATTTATATAAAATAATAAAGAGTGGTTAGAATTTGACTGATCAACACTTTTAATACATTATGTATTTGGTATTGATAACATAGGTATCAATTAATAAAAGCATTAAAATATTTACATTCAGCCAATATAGTACATAGAGATATTAAGCCAAGTAATATATTAGCAACAGAAAATTGTGAAATATGTTTTTGTGATTTTGGATTGGCCAGATAAATAGAAGAATTGGAAGCTGAAGATAATCGATGTCAGAATATGCTTACAGAATATGTTGTTACAAGTATAAATAATTAATATATTAATCAAGGATATTATAGAGCACCTGAAGTAATGTTATCTTCACATGAATATTCAACTGCAATTGATATGTGGTCTTTGGGTTGTACCTTTGCTGAATTAATCACTAGATAAATTTTATTTAAAGGAACAAATTATATTCAAATGATTAAATTGATATTTGATACTTTGGGAAAACCAGGTGAGGAAGATTTGGGATTCATTACTAATGCAAATGCTAAAAAATATGTAAGTAGCTTACAAACAAAATAAAAAGTATCTATTGGCTCTGTTATTAAATATTCTAATCCTTAAGCGATAGATTTATTAGATAAATTACTTGAAGTTAATCCTAAAAAGAGAATTACAAGTGCTGAAGTATATAAATACAAATATAATCATAGGCTCTTAATCATCCATACTTGGAACCCATTAGAGACCCTGATGATGAACCATCATTTGAAGGCAACTTAGATTGTTAATTTGAAAATGATAGCACTATTTAATTGAAAGATTTAAAAGCCTTGATTTTGAATGAAGTGAATATCATGAGATAAAAAAATTCAGAACCTATCATAAATGTTCAGTTAGAGATTGAAAAAAGAGAACAAATAACTAAAATAAATTAATAAAAAAAATAGTAATTGAAACAATAATAAAAGCAATAGCAATAATGAATAATAATTTTATTATGTTATATTTCATATTGATCTTATTTTTTATCTAGCATCCAAGAAATCTTATTCTTTTAATTGCTATCTCATATGTTCTGTCTCTTAAAGACATTATTAAATAGAACCATCTTGTTATGTTAATTTAGATTAAAGTTCTGCTAATTCTAAAATCTTATGTTTCCAATTGAATGCTTCCTAAAATTTATATTATAATTTCTTACATTTGATGAAATTTCATTTTACATACTAACTTTAGTTAATTCATCAAAAAGCAACTTCATTCGTTTATTCCATTTTGATTTATCATCCAATAATACTTTATATTTATAATTCAATCTTTCAACTTCACTTGATAACATAGCAATTTTATTCTCCATTTGATACTATAATTAAATAGGTTAATAAAATTACTTTCATTTCTTCAAATTTTTCCATTGCTTTTTATTATTCATCTACTTTATTTTTCCATAATTGTGTTTCATGTTCTTTTTGTGAAATTATTCCTGAAAGTTTAGTTTTTTCACTTTCAAGTGTTTATATGACAATTTACAATTCATTAATATTTACTAATTATGATTACAATTCTGCTAATTCACCCAATTTAACTTTATATTAATTAGTTTATCTTTCAATTTCTTAACTTAAAAATGCTAATTTAGTTTCATATTCAAACATCTTTTATTCTTAATTTTTAAGTTATGAAATATTTTATTCTTTATCTTAAATTACATTTTCTAATTATTTAATTTATTTATTTTTAATCTCTTAATTTTATTAAGATGATTATAATTCTGATTATATTAATGATAATTCTTATTCTAATTAACTTTTAATTTATTATAATTCATTTCTCTCATTTTTAGTTTATTATAATAATTCAACTTAATCATTATATTTTTAATCTAATTTTTCACATTCTTAATTTAATTTAATATTATCATTCTCAACTTAACTTAAATGACTTATTTATTATTATAAATCTAAGATTTATTTCTTTAATTAATCTGTCTCATTTTATTTATTATTTAATTTATATTTATATCTTTCAATTTCAGTAGATAACATAGCAATCTTATTTTCTAATTAATCTCTCATTTATTATGCTTCATTTAATTCTTTTGTTTATTATTTAAATTTATCCAATTATTCTTCTAATTATTAAGTTAATTCCTCTAATGAATGTTATGTATTTTATAAATCTCCATTCATTTATTAGAAATCATTCTTCAAACTATCAAAATCTTTACTTTATGCTTATAATTTCTTTAATTCCTCATCTTTTGAATTTGTTCTATATTTCAATCTTTCAACTTCACTTGACAGCATAGCTACTTTATTTTCTAAATCATAAACCTTTGATTCTAATTTAATTGCTTCTTCTAATTCTGCTTAACATTTAATATACAATTATCTTAATTATTCAAGTTAATCAATTAAATCTTAATTTTATGTTTCTAAAGATTAATATCTTCCTTATAATTCTCTTAATTCATTCAAAATATCATCTCTATCACTTTTCTTAATAGTTTCTTAACTTTAAATTAATTATTCTCTTATTTAAGTAAACTACTCTGTTTGTAATTAATATTTAGATTCCCAAGCTTTAATCTATTCTTAAAGTGAATTAAGTTTATTAAGATCTTATTCCATTAAATGAATTGTAGATTCTGCTTCATTTAATTGATTTGATCTTTATTCTAAATCTTTCTTAACTTAATCCAATTCTTACAATAAAGCTTATAATTAATTCTTCAATTAATAATTTTCTTATTCAATAATTGTATATTTATTTTAAATTTATTCTAAATTTTAATACTTCTCTTACCATAATTTAATTAAATTCTCAGCTTCAGCTAAAGGTATAGATAGATCTGGTCTTTCCTTTAATTCATCAATGAATAATTATTATTCATTAATTTATTTATTTAATTCATTTATTTTAACATCTCTTTATTCAATCTAAAATTTCTTTCTTTCAATTTCTGTTGCTAACATAGCACATTTATTTTCAAGTACTTATTTTTCTGCTTCAATAGTCTTATAATCATCTATTGCCTTATTTAATTAATCAATTTATTATTTTAATCTATCAATCTATTCATTCTTAGAAGCAATCATTTATTTCAATCTTTCAATTTCAGAAGATAACATAGCAACTTTATTTTCTAATTCCATCAATTTACCAAGATCATGTTCTAATTATTAAATAACCAATTTATATTGATTAGCTTCATTACGTAATGTATCTATCTCATTAACAAGATTTTGATTTTTAGTTTCCAAATCTTAAATAATTTGATCTAATCTTCTTATTTCTAATAAATCATCTTCTAATTATTTAATTTTAGCTTCAGCATCATTTAATTTAAAATCTCTCTCCTTAACTAATCCAATCTCAATATTCAATTATTCATTTTATTCTACAATACGAGCATTTAATAAATCTATTTAAGATCTTAATTTATTATTTTCAGACTATTCCAATTATAAAAGATTTTAGAATTCTTTTGCTTCCTACTTAAGTTATTCAATTTAGGCTTAAAGTAATTTAACTTTATTCAAAAGATCATTATTCCCTTTTTGAATTTCAGCATCTAAAAATTCTTTGTTTTTTTAATTAATATCTTCACTTTCATATTTTAATTATTTAATATAATTATCTTTATCTTATAGAATAGCTGTGTACTTTTATTTCCATTAATCAATCTCTTAAACTAGTTATTCATTTTTTCTTTGTTCATTTCTCAACAAATCTTCCAATTTAGGAATTTATAATAATCTCTCATTAGCATCTTAGAGTTGTTTTTATAAGTCAAATATGATATTCTATTTACTCTGTATAGCCTCCTCAAATTTTTTGGTTTCAATATGAGTTAATGAATAAGAGATAAGGGCTGAATCAAGTTTACTATATTCAATCCTCAATTTCTCAAAATCATTACATTTTTCTCTATATTTAATTTCTACACTCTTATATTCCTACTATAATGCACCCAATCTAGCTTCAAGACTAGCCATCTATTAAATTTGTAAATGATATAAAATTACTTCTTATAATTGAGTTGTAAATTTATTGAGTTATTACTCACTTAAAAAACACTGTCTTTTCCATTACTCAACCTCTTAAGTTAGTTTTTCAATTCTCAATTCGTATTATTCAGTCTATTCATCTTTACGTGTTTCTAAGATCACTTATTTTACTACTTGTCCCTAAAGAACAGGATTATTGGCTTATTGATTAGTTGTAACATTCTATTTTTAATGAAATCAATAATTACCTAGATTGCTCTGTATTAAGAACTTCTAATAATATCACTCATTTTATTTTGGGTATTTATCTAATAATAATATAAATGGATATTTTGAGAAATTAAATTATATTATCACAATTAGTACCCTCTTACTGTAATTGATTAAACTTTTCCACTTACAGGTCGATAGCGTTAACTCACTTTTATTTATTTGTTTACTGCACTTTAAGGTCTCAATCCTTATGATTTTGTTTTAACAATCACAGGACTTTTAGTATAAGTTTATCCATTTATTAATTTCATTATTTCAGCCAGATTATCATATATTTATAAACTAGAATGTTTGAATAACTTTTGTTAAGGTTAAGTTCCTTTAATTATTGTTGCATTTTAATTAAGTCCTCCTGTTAATTATTATTGTTCACTCTACATTGGAGAGAATAAACTACTCTTTATAGTCTATTTTTCTATCATATTTTAATTCTTTGCATCTTCCTCTTCAATATTATAGATCTCACTTTCTCCTTCTAAAGATAGCTTCTTTAAAGTTGTGTGATTGCGAATGTAATTTTAATTTGCTATTTAATAACTTATACAAAATAAGTTACTTTTATCTAATTTCTTTGTATTCTTATAATACCTTGTTTCTGAATGGTATGGCACTGATACCATCTCTTCATTCTCATCTATTTTCATCATGTGTTTCACTTACACATTCAATCCTGGTGCTGTTATTGGTCTTTATCTTGATGAATAACTATGACTAGGTGATATTAATGCAGTCATAGGTCTTGTTGACTTTTTAGGACCTATTTCTAAATCTTCTTACTCTTGTTCACTTCTCGCTTTAAATGTTTACTTCAAAAACCCCTCCTTACTTTTCTAAATGCCATAATTATTCCAATCTTCTTAAAGACTTTATCTTAAGTAATCATTTTGTTTTTTATTATGCATTGTAGGATAGAAATACTCTTCTACTTACTTTTCTTTATACATTTACTCCTTCAATATTTTATTTTGATATATATTAATTAATCATTTTTAATTGTTAAATACTTATATTAAAGTAATTATTTATATTTCCATAAAAAGCTATAAAAAGTCTGATTCAATCTAATTTCACTTCTTTGTAGAAAATTGATATCTATAAAATAATAAAATAAAATGATTAAAACTCTAAATCGCAAATTTTAAATCAATATAATGATTCAATATGAAATATTATTAAAAATATTAATAGAATAAATAAATAAATAAATAAATAAATAAATAAATAAAAGATTATCATAAAAAATATTATTATATTGATATTTTATTTCTTAAATGGTTATGAGTAGAAATTACTGACTACAATAAACAAATGAAAAATAAATAATATATAAATTTATATTCAGACTTTAAAGTTCTTATTTGTTATCCATTTATCTTTTTATATTACTCTAAAATGAGGTTATGAAGCAGTCCTAGGTATCTTGGGAGTAATAATCTACTTTTACTCTGTTAAGAAAGGAGTCGATTAAACCTCTTCCCCAATTGTATTTTGGGTTTATTTCAATTAACTTTTTTGTAATCGACTTTGAGACAAGTAGCCAGGAACCCAGAGAGGTTTTGGATTAGGAAAAATATTTTTATCAATAGATGGATGGAGAAATTAAATAATCTCAGCACCTGTTTTATTGAATATCAAAGTTTATTCTTCAACATTATGTTATGGCTATATACTATATATATTTGGTTAATGATTTTTATCAACTTAAGAAGGTTGATATGAAATCGAAGAATTCTAATTACTAATAATTTTTATATTTACTTATTCTAATAATCTGTCTAACTCTTTTGGATTCAATTTTTAAATTGTTTATTTAAATTTTCTTTTTCCAATAGCATTATTCACTACAACATCTAATTGATTAGATTTCTTAGCAGCAAATCCTGCATGATGAAATTCTGTAATAACATTAAATTTAATAGTTTTTTAATTATGATATTTAGTACGACCTAAATGTTCCAAATAAATATCCATAGCATTATCATTCTATTTGATTGAAGCAATTTCAATAGGAATTGTTTATGCCCTTCCAGAACATAATTTGGCTATTATAAAACTATTAATATAATATACTTAATTAATATCCCATAAAATTACGCATTATTTAAACTGTTTCCTTGTATTTAGAACGTATAGAGAATTATGTTGCTATAATATTGTCTGAAACTTATATTATAAGTGGTCCTATTAATAAATTAAGTAATTAAACCTTTTTCACAATCAGCCAAAGTTTGAAATGTCTTCTTTGGATTTACAAAATTGAATGGATGAACATCCCATGAATTCTTAAATGGAACAACAAATTCAAATGGCAAACCATTAAATAAATAATTATGCATAGAATTCTTTCTTAAAGAACAAACAATCTCAGTTTCTTTTGAAAAATAAAGTTAATCAATTTCTTTCATTCTTGATACTTTATATTGTGGAGCCTTTACAATATATTTGCCAATTGTTTTAAATTCTTCAGCTGATCTTCTACTATGTAAACCTGCATTTCCCTTACTTACCCATTCTTCAGTATCATAATTGAAACTGTACAAATCACCAGTTACATTATCAAGAAAGAAATCAGTCATTCTTATTTCATTAAGAGGTTTCTTCATTTTAGAAAGATCTCCCAATTATCCACCATTAAGTCCATTAATCACAGAGAATTACTAAAGTAGGGGTAAGTTTGTACACATTCAACATTAGATGCAATCAAAAAGACTAAGCCTTACATGGCAAATGATGAGGCAAATAGAATCTTATTACTTCGCATACACATCCTTAACAAAATTAAGAATTTGTAAGCATTAGGAGACCAAGGTCTAAGATTTGCATCTCCTTCAAAAAAGATTAAATCAATAGAATCAAACATCTTTCCACATTCAACTCTAACAAAAGAACTGTCAATCTCATATAGAAAGTCATCTATTGAATCTCGATCAGCAAAGAAGAATTCCAATTCCGTATCTATCATCTCTTTTTTTCCAGTCAATACCTATATATTATATTTGGATTAGTACTTCTTTTATTATTTGTTAATAATGTTCTAAACTTCTAAATCCTTTGATACATTTTCCATACCCATTAACTATTAAAATTTTCATTAATTATATATAAGTTATTTCATAATAAATTTAATTTATTCATTAAATTTCAACTTTATTATCGAAATTCTCCCTCTCCATCCATTTTATCATTTTTCCAATATCCAATAAGTTTATCTCCATTTTTCCAAAAATACACCCCTTTTCCTTATCTCTTCCCATCCTAAAAGACACCTTCAAAATAATCACCATTTGCATATTCATATCTTCCTTTTCCATTCATCTTTCCATTTGACCATTCTCCATAATAAACATCATTATTAATCATTTTTAATCTTCCAATACCACTCCTCAAATCATTCTTATAATCTCCTTCATACCTATCTCCATTAGTATATATATAAATTCCTTTTCCAGAACGTTCTCCATCTACAAAAGATCCTTCGTATCTATCTCCATTTACATAATAAAATATTCCATGTCCAAATTATTAATCATTCCTCCATTATCCTTGATACTTTGCTCCATCAGAATACCAATATATTCCTTATCCTTCTTTTAAACCTCCAGTCCATTCTCCTTCATATTTATCTTAATTTTAGTATTCCATTATTCCAAATCCATTTGCTTTATCATCAAGAAATTCTCCCTCAAATCTTGACCCATTTAAATACTCAAATACTCCCTTTCCTGATTTAGCTCCATCTCTCCAATCTCCAAAATATTAATCACCACTAGTGTAGATGTACAAACCTTTTCCATGTTTTTCCCCATCAACCCATTACCCTTCAAATTTTTCATTATTTACAAAATATGTATAAGTTCCTTAACCATTTTTTTTATCATTTGCCCACTCTCCTTCATATATGTTACCATTCTCATATAAATATATTCCTCGACCATGTTTGATGCTTTCTGTCAAATATCCATCATATCTCTCTCCATTTGCGAATAAATAAACTCCTTTTCCATGAAACCTACATTGTGCTTTCTGTTTTACCTATCGTCCTTCCATTCTCCCACATAAGTATCGCCATTATTATAATAATAAATGCCTTTGCCACATCTTTTATCATTGTTTAATTCACCCTCATATTTTCCTAAGTCAATATAATTCTTAATTTTAATTCCTTTCTTATATCTAATAGGTTCTTCAGATTCTATTATATATTATTATTGAAATCTTTAGATAATTTCCTTTTTCTCTCTAATCAATTTAGACTTATCAAATTCCTATGATTTTTTGAGATGATTTTTGAATTTTATATCTGCCATAATCAAAAATTAAAATAATTAAATATATACTAATTCATTACTTAAGTTAACTTGATTTCATTAACAAAAACATTAATTCTTCTTCAGTATAAACGCATTCCTACTAACAATACCATTCTCCAAATGAATTAATTGAATCATATTTTGTTTTCACTTTTCCACATCTCTTACAATTTATCTTAATTTAATAAAGACTTCATTACTTATATTTCCTTCAAATATATTTATTTACATTTTTCAGAGCATACCTTCTTCCCATAGCAATCTATACTTTCAAAGATCAATTAATAGCAAATCCAACAACATTCTTTTTGATCATTTTGCAATATCTATTCAATTTTCAATATTTTATTTGGTAATTCTTTAGACATCTTCTCAATCGCTTTCTCAATTTTAATCAAGTCTTTATACCTATAATTTAATCTAATATCCAAATGGTAAATCCTTTATATCTTTAGTTGATCTGATTATTATAATCATTAATTTACTTCATCTCAATCAGTTATTATAAACTACCATCACAATGCTACGCTATCTTTCCATAAAATTACTGCAAATTTATTTATGTTAAAAAATCAAAAAGTTCTTTATTCATATTTTATTCTGACCATCTATTTTATCTCTATTATTATAATTAAGTCTTCAAATTGTTGATTGATTAAGTCTAAAATTTTACAACTTTTTACAATGTTCTATTACATTTTCTGTTAACTATTTGGTCTTCTTTATTAAGACATTCTACTCAAATTTTAATTAATAATAATATTAAATTCAAATAATTAAAATTGATTAATAATTATCTTAAAATAAAAACTTACACATAATTTTTATGTTGTCAAAAATTTATTGAAAATGATATACTTAATCAAAAACGAAAATATTTACAAGCATCTATTTTAGATTTTATGAAATCTCTATATAAATATATGATTAAATTAATATAAAATTTATTAATTGAATTTATATTTAATGGAAATATTTCTTATAAAATAATAGGTAAGAGCTTGAAAAAATGAAATAAATAAGATTCATATTATTTGACAAAGACAGGGAGATTCTTAGTTTGTCATGTCTATATTATATTATTTCCAATTTTCAACTTATCTATAATAGAGTTTTAATACCTAAAAATATTTCATTTTATTCTCTGAACTATATTTTATGCTTCTTATTTCCACGTTAAATTAAGTTCCCATAACTATCTTTACGAACCACAATATCATCTGAGGCTGAACGGGAGACTTTTAAAATAGGAGTAATCTATTTTAATGGCTCGCTATTAAATATAGATTGGTTAATTCCAAATTTTTGAGAATAATCGCAATCAGACATTTTATTTTATAAAAATGATATGATTTATTCATAATTAATGAATCTCAATAATTTGTCAATATTAGGTTTCTATTATTATAATAATATGAAATTACATAATAAAAATGATATTAATAAAACTTAGCTTATAACACAGATTTTCTGATGGATTACCATTATAATTAATCATTATTATATATATTTGACTTCCAAAAACTTGATTATAATTATTCCTAAAATGCTCAAAATCTAATATTATAAAATCTCATCGAATTGAATTAAAGAGATCTCTTATCATTTTAATATGAAAAAAAACAAAGGTTTTATCTTGTTTCTTGATAATTATATTTATTTATAAAATATGAAAAGCTTTAGAGGGTATATTAAAATATTTTAATCATAAAATTAATAAAATTGACATCATCATATTTAAATTTCTTTAATTAAGTACAAATTTAAAAATTAACTAATAAATCAAGTAACATAATTTATTGTAGTTTTATTATTTTTTTTATTATTATTATTATATATTAATTAAATCTATTAATTTGAAAGTCTTAATTAATGTATAAAATGAGAATTAAAAATAAAGGAATTCTGATTTTACAATTCAATATAAAATAGTAATATTAATTTAATAAAATAGTTGCATACTTTTTAATTAAAAATTACAATTAAAATTGAATTTTGATTAAATATAAATACTAATAGCTTAGACTAAAAATAGGATAATATTTACTGCTACATATTAATATTATAGTAATAATTAGAAGAGTTAATAATACTAAATTTTTTTAAAACTTAAGTAAGCCTGTATAATTTTTCGGTATCTCTAATAATTTTTAGAAATTATAATGTTTATTTAGTGTATTAAAGGTAAATAGAATCAATAAATATTGAAATAAAAGGATGCCACATGTTTTAGTATATAAATACAGTATTTTATTTAGTAATTTAAGTTTAAGAATAGTCATAGTCCATCAATACTGAACATGAAAATTGTTGAATAAGAAAGAGATAATCAACATTAAGAAAATTTATGATATAATTGATTATATACTATTGATAGAGATTGTAAAATAGTGTGATATCAAAATAATTAACAACTTTTGGATTAGCAACAGCTTACTTTCTCTTTATCTTCATCTATAATATTAAAATTTTTCCAATTGTCCACTATTATGATATCATACAATTTAGCCTTGGCTGTTACTTCATCTCGAAATGTTATCTAATATTTTGTTTTTTAATTTTTTTGAATCAAATTTCCCAGTTTGTCAAATCGTTATGCTCTAGGAGAAGTAATATAGGTATTTTTCTAACACTCAATACTTTGAATATCAGGATCCGTTATCTTGCTTATAGATTTGTGTAGTGGTCCTAAGTTTTATATTTCTATAGAAGGACCGTGCCTTTTACTATCTTAGAGCATTTTAATATTATTTGTTTATAATTTTAGAAAAATAACAAATTAGAAAAAACATAAAAAAAAGTCTTTTAGATTTGCAAGTAAAATTAATTTAATGTTTAACATATAGGAAACTGTATTGTAAAGATAATCTAGATATTTTTGAAGGCTATTCACTATTTTTAGTGTTTTTAAAAATAAGGATTTAAGTGGGCTTTTTAAAAGAGAAAAATGTAATGTTTTCAATATTTATTATTTTAATCATTTAGAAATAGAACTTAAATATATGAAAATTTAATTTTTCTTTAATATACTTACCCTTTTCTTTGTGTTTTAATGTAAAATCTTTACAATCTATTGATTTTTTTAATCATTTAGTATATTAATATAATTATTTTAATATAAAAAATTATCATCTTTTTATATTTGAAAAAATAAAATATAATCATATTCAATAAATGCTTTTCAAGCTTCTATATAATTTGAATTAGCAATACGTTATTAAAATAGTTTTTGATATCTAATTTCAAATTAATTAATTGTATTAACATAATAATAATAATAATAATAATAATCAATCTTGATCATCTAAATTAGAAATAAAACTTAAATCGTTATCAAACATTTATCTTTTATTTTATTTCATATCTATTTTAGAGAAATCTACACTAAAGACACCATCAACTTAATTCTATATTTATTTCTACTTTTCCTTTTAGATTTCAGCTACTAGTAACTAAATTTCATTTTTTGCCTAAAATAGAACTATTACATACGAGAGCAATAACAGATAATTTTAGTGGTTTATTAAAAGTGATTGCATTAACATTAGAAAAATAAAGTTAAGGATAGCTATAAGATCTTTTAATGGATCTTTTGTTGGATTTTCTATTTTAAATTTAATTTATCAATTATTATTTCTTGACATTGCCTAACTACATAATAAATTCATTTACATCAAATATCTTAAAATAATCATTATATATCGACATCAAGAATTCAATGCACTCTTCTTTAGAAACCAAACCATATCCTAAACAAGATGTTCCATATAAATCCTATTGAATTTATTCCAATTTACCTCTAAATATTCATCATAAACGAAATCTAGTACAAATTTAAAAAAAAATTACTTTTCATAGTCTAAAAATTAATTTAATTTCTTAAAGCAATTCTGATTTTGAACATTTCCCTTTTTAGAAATTAAAATATAATTATACTTACATAATTGGTATCACTTAAGGTTTAAGCTTCTTAAGTTATTTTATTCAATAAATTTCTGACATTAAAAAATTCTTCATGTAATCTAAGATTCTATTCTGAAGAAGAGACTATTTCATTCATCTTATAGAATTGACATTCTCTCTCTTGGATTGGTTTCATTCTTTCCAATTCTTATATTGCATTTACAAGATCATGAACATTTCTCTTCAATTCTATTAATTTTTATTCCAAATCTCCTATCAAGTCTTTATAATAATCTTATTATTCCTCTCATATCTATTCTTGAAATAAAATTTTAGTTTATAATTATTGAGTAATTGCTTATTAATTGGATAATCCTTTGATTAGTTTTTTGATTCTCTTCATTCAATAACTAAATGACACTTTCTAATTATGAATTTGGATAATTATAACCAGTTGACATTGTGCTATTATCTGTTGTCAACTATGTAATCTATTGATAATACTTGTGGTCTTTTATTTAGACCTTCTAATGTAAGATACATGGTTTATTTATTTAATTTTAAGGCACTTTCTAAATCTTGAATATATTCTTATAAGGATCTGTTCTCTTCAGAAAGATAATGTATATTAGATTTATTGTCGATTTGAAACGAATAATCTAATGTTAATTTAGCTATCATTAATAAAATAAAGAAACTTAATTTGAAGTTAATAAATTTTCAATTTATAAACTTTTATATTTAACTTAGATTTATTAGCAAATGGATAAAAAATCATTCTTTTTCTTTTACCTAATTAAACATTTAATCAATGAGACTTGATATTATTTTAAATGAGATCCAACATCAAGTAAACACATTATGTACTTGACTTTTCTGACATTGAAGACATTTCTGACAATGTATCTGAGTCTTCCTCATATTAACAAAATCAACCTCCTGTATCACCTCCTAGATCTGACATTAAATAATTACAATAAGGCTCATCACTTCAACCTGTTAAAAAAGAAACAGTAGAAATACCTTCTCTAATAATTTAACAAGAAGAAGATTAAATTCCAAGAAGAAAAATTGATAATAATATTATTTAAAGATGGGAAGTGAATTTTGATGAATTATCAGAATATGAAGAGCCAGAATCTGCTCCAGAATCTATTTAATTGTAGAAAGAATCCAGTCCTCATATAGAAGAACCTCAATACATTGAGTAATTTTTTGAAGATCAATAAATAATAGATGAAGTAGAAATAGATCAAGATTAATTGATCTTAGAGAGACCTAAAGATGTTTAGAAATAAACTCTAATAATGAAATAAGAATTTTAATTAAAAGATAAATAAAATGCTCATATCTTGACAAATCCTATCAATTTATCATAAAAGGATTACTTAAATGATTGTAATACTATTACTCCAAAAAAGGATATCAATTAAGATATTCAAATACCCAAGTGTAAATAGATTGTCAAGTAGAAATTTTATAATCCAAAGAACTCTTTAATATATTTAAGATTGAGAGGTCGAGAAGATCTATATAAGAGAAATGAGATTGTAGTTGATGAAAAATAGAAACCATAGGAAGTTGATCAATTACTGGAAGGATTAGATTGCATAAATAATTTACTTATAGATTTATCAAATTTTAAGGAAAAAAAAAAGAATGAAGTTGATAAAAACAAATAAGTTCCATTACAAATACAAAAACATAGAGTAGATTAAAATAGTGTTAATAATACAGAAAAAAAAAGTATTAAAATAGTATAAATTAAAGAATAAAAATAATAAGAAAATTAGGTAGAAATATAAAAAATATAAGAATAGAAATAGATAGAATCTGTTTAAAAATAATAAGTTTAAATAGAATCTGCTTAAAAATAATAAGTATAGAAATAGATAGAATCTGCTCAAAAATAATAACTTTAATAAGAAGCTGCATTGGCTAGATAAATAAGAAAAGAAATATAGTAATAAGAGAAAGAACTTAAAAAATAATAAGAATAAAAGTAGGTTTATAAGATTTTAACCAAAAAATTGATTAATTAAGGATTGCCTTTATATAGATGTTTATTAAGATAAAAATAGAAAGATTTTATTAAATGGTTAAGATTTTCAGAAATTGCATTAATAAATGAAGGTGAAAAAGAGATCTATAGATTTGAGAAAAGATTATCAGATCAAATGTTTCTATAGATCCATAAATAGAATATGAAATCAATTACAATCACTAAATAGTATATGTTTGATCCTATAACATTACATTATGTTAAAAAAAAAGAGAATCTTTAAGAGAATACATCTCTTGAATAAGAAAAATAAATTAAATAAGATTAGGATTAAAAGATCATTAATAATAAAATTAATAATGAGTGTAAAATACAAAAAGAATAGAAATAATCAAAGTAAAAGAAATTAACAAAAAAGGATTCATCTGATTGTGTTGAATTATTGGAGGAAGATTAAAATAAATAAACTATAATTAACAAAGAAAAAGGTATTTAATCTAACAGTGATGATGAAGATTTTGATTTATTGGATGCAGACAGAATCTAGATTTTAAAGATAGTGATTGATAAACGAAAATATAATAATAGATAATAGTTACAATAATAAAATCAACTTATTTAACCTTAAGATGAATATAAATAATCTGATGATGGTGTGATAGTGAGATAAAGAATAGATTAATAAAATGAGCATTTTCAGAAAGAAGAATAATATCCTTAAATTTAATAGGAATAAAAAAATAATTTATATCTTCCAGTAAATAAATCAAGATAAGGGATTGATAATTAAAATGAAATAAAATAGAAAAAACATAGAAATTATAAATATAAAGAATAACCATTGAGTAGATTAGAAACAAATGATGAAATAAAGAAAAAGGAGAAAATTTATGATAAAAGAAAAGAAAAAAAGAAATAAGATTTTTTATAATTATTGAATGAGATTGAAATTGAACAAAAATAATAATAATTAAAGGAAGAAGAATAAAAGAGAAAATACAAAGCAATATTATAATAGAATAAGGATAAATTAAGAGTACAAAATTATGAATAAAAAAATAAATTAAAGAATTTAGAATACTTTTAATAATAGCAAGTAAACACTAAAATTTAAAAAGATCAGAGAATAAATGAGTCTAAAATTGATAGAATAATAGCTAAATCAGAAATTAAATAAGATCTTTAAAGTTGTAAATCATCATCTGTAGCCAAAAAGTCATCTGTTGAGAAAGGAATCATTTCCATTAACAAACTTTTTGCAGAAACTTAATTAAAAAGGTTAAGGAGGAATGAAACCGATAGTGATGATTCAGATGAATTTTCATAAGTTGAAAGGAATAGAAATTATTTAAAAAAATCAAAGAAGTGATNGTTAAGATTTTCAGAAATTGCATTAATAAATGAAGGTGAAAAAGAGATCTATAGATTTGAGAAAAGATTATCAGATCAAATGTTTCTATAGATCCATAAATAGAATATGAAATCAATTACAATCACTAAATAGTATATGTTTGATCCTATAACATTACATTATGTTAAAAAAAAAGAGAATCTTTAAGAGAATACATCTCTTGAATAAGAAAAATAAATTAAATAAGATTAGGATTAAAAGATCATTAATAATAAAATTAATAATGAGTGTAAAATACAAAAAGAATAGAAATAATCAAAGTAAAAGAAATTAACAAAAAAGGATTCATCTGATTGTGTTGAATTATTGGAGGAAGATTAAAATAAATAAACTATAATTAACAAAGAAAAAGGTATTTAATCTAACAGTGATGATGAAGATTTTGATTTATTGGATGCAGACAGAATCTAGATTTTAAAGATAGTGATTGATAAACGAAAATATAATAATAGATAATAGTTACAATAATAAAATCAACTTATTTAACCTTAAGATGAATATAAATAATCTGATGATGGTGTGATAGTGAGATAAAGAATAGATTAATAAAATGAGCATTTTCAGAAAGAAGAATAATATCCTTAAATTTAATAGGAATAAAAAAATAATTTATATCTTCCAGTAAATAAATCAAGATAAGGGATTGATAATTAAAATGAAATAAAATAGAAAAAACATAGAAATTATAAATATAAAGAATAACCATTGAGTAGATTAGAAACAAATGATGAAATAAAGAAAAAGGAGAAAATTTATGATAAAAGAAAAGAAAAAAAGAAATAAGATTTTTTATAATTATTGAATGAGATTGAAATTGAACAAAAATAATAATAATTAAAGGAAGAAGAATAAAAGAGAAAATACAAAGCAATATTATAATAGAATAAGGATAAATTAAGAGTACAAAATTATGAATAAAAAAATAAATTAAAGAATTTAGAATACTTTTAATAATAGCAAGTAAACACTAAAATTTAAAAAGATCAGAGAATAAATGAGTCTAAAATTGATAGAATAATAGCTAAATCAGAAATTAAATAAGATCTTTAAAGTTGTAAATCATCATCTGTAGCCAAAAAGTCATCTGTTGAGAAAGGAATCATTTCCATTAACAAACTTTTTGCAGAAACTTAATTAAAAAGGTTAAGGAGGAATGAAACCGATAGTGATGATTCAGATGAATTTTCATAAGTTGAAAGGAATAGAAATTATTTAAAAAAATCAAAGAAGTGATATTGATGTTTACCTATTCTTTTATGTTATAAATTTAATTAATTCATTTTTATGTATTCACTTTTTTATCAAATAGTATTTATAGGGAATTATATATATGATCTAATTAACATTTTTTCAAATTCTATTGGAATCAGTCTAGATATTGGTTTGAATGCTTTTGAAAAAGAGTATTAAAGATTATGATTGAATTAGATGTAGTAGTGCCATATATCCGTTTTTATTATTATTTTTTTAATATGTTAAAATTAGTTAGCATATTGCTGCTGACATTGTTGTTAGTGAAATCAACGGAAATTCATGGAACCATTAATGTGAAAGTTATATTACCTAATTAAATTTACACATAAGAATCAAGTGGACACCTTGATAATACATATAGATAGAATGAATTACTAGAGAATTCAGTAATGAAAGATGTTGCTATGTATAAATGCATTCTATTCAGTTTAGAAGTTTTCTTGAAACAGGTAGGTCTGTAGAAGTGAATGAAGTAAAGGATAAATCCATAGAAATTTGGTCACAAAAATCATTAGAAATAGAATAGCAACCTCATATGAAAGCAGAACAATCAAATGAAAATTAATAAAATACTCAAGTCTAATCTGATTAAGTAAATAAGGAATCAGAAAGCTAAGAAAAGAAAATTTCAATTAAAGTACAAAAAAAAGACAATAAATAAGTTGACTAATAAACTAATGATCCTATTATCAATCAAAATAATGATGTTCAAGCGAAAGATAATACAAATTAAATTGATTAATAAAGAGAAGCCTCAATATAATAAAAGAAATTTTCAGTTTCTGTAAGTAAAAAACAAAAATCAGAGGATTAAAATGCTACTGAGTAATAATAAGATATTTAAAATGAATAACTTTAAGATATTAATAAAGAGAATGAAAAATAAGATGTTTAATAAAATAATTAAATAACAAATAAAGATGCTGAAGAATAATCTAAAGATAATGTTTAGATCTAAGAACCAGTTGTATCAACTGATAATTAAGAGATTGGTAATAATACAGTAGAAAATTAGAATGTAGATGCAATAATATAAGATGAATCTAATATATCATCTAAAGATATTAAGGTAGAATAATAATTGGAATAAAATAAAGATTAAAATTCAGTTGAGTCTTCAATTGACAATCTAAATGATATTCCAGCTAAGACTTAAACAGAATCAATTTAAGAATAAAAAGATTAAATTACAGTATCATCATAAAATGAGACAGAACAATAATAATAAAATGTCGTATCAAAAGAATCATCTGAAATAAATACTTAATAATAAGAATTGAATACATTAGATGATAAAAATATTAATAAAATATCTGTTGAGAACAATAAAGAAGAAATTGATTAATTGAAAAATGATGATGCTTAAAATGAGGTTGTGATTTAAGATATTAAAATAGAAACTTAACCAATTCAATAAGTAGAAGACAAATAATAAACAGATATTAATAAAGTAGATGATACAGATATTGTAGTCAAATCAGACGAAGAAATCAAAGTTGTTCCAATCTAATCAGATTCTAAAAATTAAGATTAGGGAGAGGAAGATTCTACTCCAGATGATGATGTTGATGAGGAAAATTAAAATAATACAGAAACTAAACAAAATTAAGATGATAAAAACTAATCAATTGATAATCAAAATGATTAATAAAATTAACCTATTGAGGAAAATACATAATGTGATGGTGAAGAATTAGACACTGTTCATGTATAGGAAAATTAAAATGAAACTTAAGTGAAAAAAGACACTTAAAATACAATTGAATAATAATAAGTAGAAGAGGTTAAATAAGAAGAAGCAGTTTAAAAATAAGTAGAAGAAGTTAAATAATAAGAAGTAATTAAATAGGAGGAAATAGTGTAAAAATAAGAAGAAACAGTTTAATAATAATAAGAAGAAGTTAAATAAGTGGAAGTAATTAAATAATAAGAAGAAGTTAAATAAGTGGAAGTAGTATAAAAATAAGAAGAAGTAATTTAATAATAATAATAATAATAATAATAATAATAATAATAATAATAATAATAATAATAATAATAATAATAAGTTAATTAAAAGTTAAATAAGAATTCAGAAAAATAAAAGTAAGCTGAAGCACCAGATTTTATGGTTAAGAAGAATTAATTAACTAAAAAAATGAAAGAAGTTATAAATGATATGAAAGAATCAGAAAAAGCTCCTTAAAATAAATTGTATAGTTTGAATGTTTCAAATTTAGATCCAGATGATGTAATTGTAATAAAAGATACTTCATACTTTGATACAGATGCTGAAATAGCAGTTTAAGAAACAAAGAATCCAGAGTAATAATTAATTGGAGAGGTAATAAAGGTTTAAGCTGAAGTTGAGAAAGTTGATCTTAGTATATTTGCTAATGATAGTTCTGATTTAGTTCCAATTATAGTTGAAGACACAGATAATTATATGTAATCTGAAATCATTACTGATGCAATTAAGGATGTGACTGAAAAGGAAATTGAAATAATAGGAGATTAGAAATTAGGAGAAGCTATAGTTGATGTACAATCTTTAATTTCTGATTAAGTAGAAATCAATGGTAATTAAATTACTAAAAATAATATTGTCTAGAATGATTATTCTTTGGATTATGATTAAATGGAAGCTGATGTAATATTAAATAAGAGTTTAAATAATGATGGAACTACTTTTGATTAATTCTAATCATAATTGGATGAATTAGCAATGGAACTTGATAATCTTAGTTTAGAGTAACCAACTAATGTTGAGTAATAACCTAATTTAGAAGAGACAAAAGTAATTGACACATAATAGAGTGAAATTGCAAAAGAAGATTAATAATATTTAACAATTGTAACCAATAATGATTCTACAATTGAAAATGCTGTTTTGGATGATGATTATTATTTGGATGATTTAGATAATGAATTAGATTAAATTATATAATAATAGACAAATGTTTAATAAGAACCTATTGTATAAGAATAAGTAATTTAATAAAACAATAATGTTGAATATAAAGATGAAGTTAAATAAAATTAAGATATTTAATAAGATAATTAAGATATTTAATAATAATAATAATAATAATAATAATAATAATAATAATAATAATAATAATAATAATAAACTAATTAATTAAATGATGAAATTACATCTAATCAAAATTTAGATTATGATGAAAACCTTAATAATTATAATTATAATGATAATGATTATTATTAGATTGATAATTAAAATGAATAAGATTTATCATAAGATTAAAATGAATAATAAGAAATTCAATAAGAAGATATATAATAAGAAGATTTAGAATAAGAAAATGAAGAGATATACGAAACCTAAGTATAATCAAATGATGAAGCTGTTGTTAGTGATGGAGTAATGGTTTATACTGGTGATTCTTATAGTAATAATGATTTAGAATCTGATATTAATAAAGATTATGATCTATCATTTGATGATTCAACTAAATAGTAGGATTCAAATATAACATAAGATTAAACATCTTAGAATGTTGAAACAAATTAACAAACAAAAACTTAAATAAATGTAGATAAACCAGATTAGTAAAAAGTAGAAGTCTAAAATTAAGTAGTTGAATAATCATAAAATTAAATTACTGAAAATTAAGTAGTAGATAATGAATAAGAAAATTAAGTAGTAGATAATTAGATAGTTGTCAATTAATCTAATTCTGAAGACAATTAAGTAGAGAGTGTTTCAAAATAAGAAACAGAAGTTTAATCTAATGTTTCTACTTAATAACCAGAACAATAAGTGTAATAATAAATTGAAGAATAAATGGATGAATAAGAAAATGAGATTACTTTAGAAAATGTAACTGCAACTGAGGAACCAAAATCTGAGGATTTACCAAAGGTTGAAATCAAGAAGAAATAATTGGTGAAAAAAGAAATTACTTTAAAGGAAGAAGCAGATAATATAATTACTAATGATGATATCAATGGAGAAGGTACAGTACAAGATGATAATATTGAAGTTTTCTATAATGATTCCTAAATACCTTAAGCTGAATAGGAGGTAGCAGCTAAATCTGAACCAGAAGTTATAGAGAATCTTGAAGACTTATAAGATTGTATTGAGAATGATAAGGATGAAAATACAGTTGAAAATAAGGATGAGGTTGTAAAGGAGAAGAAAGAGAAACATCATTCTATAAAAGTTAGTAAGGAATAGAACAAATAAAATAAGTAATAGGATAAATCTTTGAAGATTGAATAAAATGAGAAATAAACTAAATTTGAAGAATAATTACATTAGTAAATTAAAAACAAAAAATAAAAAGAGAAATAATAAATGAGTCATGAAGAGTAATTTGATTAGATTGTAAATGAATTAGTTCATGAATTAGAATCAACAACTAATAAAAGAGTTGATATTAGAGAATAAGAATAATAAATATATAAAGATATAAAAAAGAATGTAGAAGAACTTAAATAGATTCATAATAGTGATGATGTTATTATAAAAAAGAGAATTGATGTAGTTGAATAAGATGTAGATATAGATACTGAAGAGAGAATTAAAGATAAAGAATTTTAATAGAAAATTGAAGAACTTTTGAAAACTTAAAAGACATAAGTTGTTTCAAAGAATAAAATTAATGATGGTGAAAGATATTATTTAGATAAACCTGTTAATTAAGCAGTTAGTGATTATGAAAAAGAATTGAATTAAAGAAAATAGGAAGTTATGGAGAAGATTAAAAATGACTTATAAATTAAAAAAGGTAGATTTTCATAGGACAATTAGAAATCAGATAATTTATCTCCTTATGAATTCGAAAGAATCTACTTAGATTGGACTCAAAATAAAAATGATATTATTTCTAGTATGTTGTCTCATGTATCAGGTTCAGAAGTCTAATTGGAATCATAAATTTCATAAGAACCAGTAAATAAAGTTGAAAGAGTATCTAAAAAATAAGAAGTTGAATAAGAAATATAAGAATTATTCTCAAATTATAAACCAAATTAATTAAAGAAAAATGGAGGTATTAATATTAGTATTATTATTATTTTAGATTCATACGAAAAAAGTTTTTTGGCAGTCAATCAATAAGTCAAGAAATCTAAGAATTTGCGAGGAAATAAATAATGATGAAGAAAATCGAATTTATAACATAAATAAAAGTATTTCATAAAAGCTTCGTCTTATAATTCTTACTATATTCTAAACTATTTTATATATAATTTAATATTATTTATATTAATTATTTTCTTAATTGAATTAATATATTTTTTATCTCTTATACTTAAATATTTACTAAGATTATTTAAATATGACATTATTAATTATGATGATTATATATAAATATAATAAAAAAAGAGTTGAAACCTTTTTGAATTTTATTATATTTTTTATGCGATATAAATATTAAGTCTTTTATATATTACTAATAAATCTCATGGATAATATAGAACATAAACTAATTACTATATGATGATAGTGTTAAGATGAAAGATGAAAGATGAAAGATGAAATTCAAAATAATACTACACTTAATTAAATCAAAAAAATCCAATTAAAAATTTTTGAATACATCATTAACAAAATCTATATTTCTTACTAAAATATAAATATCTTAAAATGAGTTTGTAAACATCATAAATCTTTGATGATTAGAATGAACTATCTACAAAGATATACAAAGACTTAGAATCGATTTTAGGATGTGCTTAAGAAATCGATTGCTTAATTGAATATTTATAAGGATCACAACCATAACTTGTTAATATAGGCTTAAATAAATTGTTTACTAATTTTAACCATTCAAACTTGATGCATCTAGAAATTAAATAACAATCTGAAACCACAGTTACAACTCAACAATCAGTTTAGGGAGCCAAAAGTGAATCCATTAAAATTGTACTTGAAGTTTAAAAGTCAATAATCAACAGGCAAATCCAATAAACATTAAACTATTACATAGATAAAAATCTAGCCTAATTTAATATACCCTATTAGTTAAATTAGATTGAATTAGAATAATGCAATATTTATTCTAATGAGTTGCTTTAAGACTTGTTTTCTTCAGATGAATAAATCCAACTCTAATTTATTTAAAGAAAGTGTAGTCTAAAAGAATCATCTCTTTTGAGAAGATCTTTAAGCATTAATTAAATCCCCACAAAAAAATCAGTAATTCTAGAAAAAATTGAGTAAATTTTACTGTTATTTTATTTAGCTATAGAAAATCAACTATGATAAAAAAACTTGAATAAAGATTTCCTAAATTAGAAAGTGTAGAACCCATAATTCCATATATACTCGCACTTTATATCAATATAGAAAGTGAAGGATTAATTGGTGATTTTTAATAAGCAAAAAATAAATTAAAATCAATCCATCATACAGTTTTGAAATTAAGCTTTAGTAACTTTATGCAATTACTTTCAACTGAATATGTGAAATTATTTGTCAAATTAGATATGTAATAGATAATCAAAGGTAATTTTAACACATAATTTTAAATTTAATCTAATAAAATTTTAGCATAATAAAAATGGGTTAAATTAGATAAATCTAAGATTTAAGAACTATTACAAAGTTCTAAATTTAATTAATAATTTTAAATTGAAAATTAAAAGCTATAATAATTAGAAGAAATGATAAAATAATTGAATTAAAAAATAATCCTACTTTTTCAATAAATTCTACCTCATGAACAAGGAGGTTTTGACAATAATTATTAAATTGTAGACTAATTATTATAAGAAATATAGTAGAGCATATCTGAAATGATTAAATCATCATCAATTAATTAAGAGATTACTATTGCAATTAATAAAATCTTCTAATAAATCATATATATATTAAATAAATTCAAAGAAAGTTTTTAATCTAAATTTGGAATTAACACATTAAATAAATTGAAATTAATTCTACAAGAGAATAATTAAAAATTCATTAAATAAAAATTAGTTAATGAATATCAATACAAATGTGTATAAGAATTAGAAAATTAATTATTAAATCTTTAAAAAAAAAAATAAACTATTTTAACTTCATCTGAATTGATTTCTTTGATTGTTGAATCAATTGAAAAAAAAGTAGAATTTGAAGGTATTTTAAGTGATTTAAAATATGGTAATGAAACATAAAGTATTATTAGTGAGGTTTCTCAAATCTAAGATTATATATCAAATGATTAGGTTAAATAATTTCTTTAAAACGTTATTGATTATTTTTAGGATAGAATTAAAAAGAAGGATATTAATTTCAACCTTAATTAATTATAATTAAATTAACATGATGAATCAATTTTAAAATCCATAAATAATTAATATTTAATAAAATATATGAAAGAGAACCAAAAAGTTTTAAAAAAAATTTCAAAATATTTATTGGCTAATGATCCATCTATTAATTTGACTCTTAGATAATATACTTCTTTATAGGAATTATCAATTTTGGCTCTAAAATTTTCTAAAGATTCAAATCTAAATGAATTTTTTAAACTTTTTATTGATTTTAAAAATAATCTAGATTCACAATAAATTAGATTAAAATACTAATTGAGTTCAAATGAGTTGTCAGAATGGAAAAATTTCGTATAATTATTTGAATAACTTAGTATATGATATAAAGAATTTAGATAAAATTTTAAATTATTTTTCTTAACATTGATTATATATCCCATAACTAAATAAATCATTCTTTAAAATAACAAATATTATAATTATTATAAAAATAATAAATATATATATAGTAACAGGAATTAAAAAGGGTTTAATTAAATAGTTTAATTATAATAAATATTATTAAATTATAATTAATTAATAGTAATGATCATTATATACTTTTTATACTCATTCTTCTTAAAAGATATTATTAATCCATTTTCCTGTTATTTTTGTACCATTTTAAGTTATGAATACTCCAGATCCATTAACTAATCCATTTTAAAAAAGTCCAGTATAGATTTCTTAATTAGATAATGTCAATTAACCATATCCATCCTATTTACCTTATTTGAAATCTCCATCATATTTTATCCACATATTTCCTAACTAATTAAAATCTTTATAATTAAATGGTGTTGATAATTATTATGGATTTTAATTTTTAAGTACTCCTGTACGATGAAATCTTATCTGATATTTTATATAAAATTTACTGATTTTCATAAAAGTATCCTTCATAAATAATCTCATTATCATCATTAATCAATTTACCCAAACCTTACTTTTTGCCACCCTAAAATAAACCTTCATATGTTAAACCATTGGATAATGATTCAACTCCATATCCATCTTAAGTAATGAGTTTCTTACTTCCTCCTTTAGAAGCCTATTCTGTTTCAAATTTTTTAAATAAATTCTTTTTTTACATTTAAGGTGAATATGATTCTCTCTTTTATATAATTGACTTTAATAATGAGATAATAAATATACACTTGATGCTTTAGATTCTTTTGAATTCTTTGATAAAACTTATCTAAGTGATAAGTGTGAACCTTTTTGAAATAGAGATTAATTAGACAATTGAGATTAAACTTCAGGATGAACAAGTGAATGTTATTTAGTAGTAAAATGAACCTAATCATAAATTAGATATACTTTTTTTTCAACAAAACTATATTAGAAATCTTCATTTGTCCAAATTTGAAATAATCTTTTACCATTTAATAATTATGATAAATTAAGTAAATCATCTAGCTATAAAAAGTCACATCTCACTTTAGGATCATAATGTAACATAGCCTCTAATAGTAAAGGCAATGCTTCTCCATATCGATCTTATACTTTTTTTATTTATTCATTTAAAAGATTCTAATCTATCATATAATCTTTATATAAGTTTATGCTTTAACGAACAGAACATAATTCCAAGGTCATCTAATTAATTTTATTATATTTTACTAAACCAAGAACAAATACATTGCTTTTAAAAACATCATAAGATTCCAACTTTTTATTATGAATCATTTACCATTATTCTGGACTTAAGTATGTGTATTCTTGCAATCTGATTTACTCACCTTTTAAGATTTTATCAAATAAGTTTTAGAATTCCATTTCTTGATCATTTGAATCAAATAATGGATTTTAGACTTTTAATGCAATGGCTCCATTAAGTAAATTAGAGAGATAGATTTTATCAAATTTTAATGATTGTAATGCATGCCCTTTAGATTAGAGAAATGCCTAACTACCAATTAGTGAATCAAGAAAGAATAATATTTCACCTTCTTCAAAATATATTTTCTTTCTATAAAGTAATTCTTAAGCAAGTGTGGTTTCATAGTAATCTAAAAAAAGTGACAATTTGTATTAGGTGTTAAAGAATTGATCTATTTATTTATATTACATTGCTAAAATAAGATTAAAATGAGATACCATGTATTATTAAAAGGTTAGGATGATTGAACCCATGAAATTTGGCTTCATAATATTGTAATGCTTATTGAAAGTCTTCTCTCTCTACAAATGTAATAATTTTATGTACTAATTTAAAATCAAATTTTTTAGGTTCCTTATATTCAAGTAAATTCACTTTACCATATAAAGGATGCTAATAATCATCTTACACTACTATAAAATCATTGCTAAGTTAGTCAATGATTGTGAGATTGCTTATTTCAATATGCGATTTGCATTATTAACATGTTCCCATTAATTAAATGATGAAGACTGTTATAATTATTGCTTAATAATCAATTCATTAAATATATTAAGTAAGTCAAATTGAGGTGAAATAATTTAAATTAAAATATGATAATCCTATCACTTAAATATCCCAATCTTTATAGAAGTATTAAATTTGTCAAACGTATTAATCAAATTCTTAGCCATCTATTCTATTTTAGACTTAATTATATGAATTTCTAATAAACTCTCATTTATTTGTTATTCATATTTTTAATTAATTCTCTTTGAAAATTAAAATATTTATACTTTATTTAAGTGAATTAGGATCAATTTTAGATAATTTAATCATAATTTATGGAATTTAATATATCTTTTAACAATTTTAAATGATTTCAAATTTTTTAAGATATGAAGTTCCACAAAAATACTGTTATAGTGAATTTACTTAATATTAAAATATTATAAGAAATTATAATATAAATTCACCTTATAATCAAATCTCTTGCACTCTTTTAAGCAATATTCATAGCAATATCTTTATTAGGTTATGTTTCTATATTTTCAGTATCCACCATCAAAGGAATATCAGATTATTATGTATTTTCACTTCTTGTTTTCATTCTCTAAACAAATGGATTAGCTCTACTAGTTTCTCTTAAACTAATATCATTGTTGAAACTAATCCATGGTTTACTTGTTATATTTTACTCTATAAATTCTTTTCGACATAAAGGACAACATTTCTGTGTCTATAACCATTTGAATAGACAATGCTAATGAAATAGATGATAACATGGAGTTAATGAACAATGATCTATGTGATCTCTTTCTGTTAATTTACCTTATTATGGAGGAGCCATAGATTCTAAACATACTACACACTCAACAAATTCACTTAATTATGGATATTTATCTATTAGATCCAAGTAATAAAATTAAGGGAAATATGTTTAGATAAAATCTAAATTAAATCCTTTTTATATATCATCACTTTATTATTATTATATTCTTCTTCTTCTTCTATTTCCTCTAAATTCAATTTGCATTAATCTTACTTATTATCTTTGTTATTTTTATCTAATTTTTCGAAATATGAGATAAGTTATCAATATAAAACAAGTGAGAAAAATAGATTATAAGATAATTTAAAAATGATAGGGATCATCATCTATCATTTATTCTTTATCAAACAATTCAAAATAAAATAATATTGGATATGAATGTTAATTATAAAATCCAATAGTTAAAAATGAACAATTCATACACATCTATTGATAATAGATTAAATCACCCTTTAATTGATATATCTATGACTAAACTTTCTTTGGAATCATATATGCATCATAATGAACATTAGGAACTTCATGATTTTAAATTCCTTACATTCCCAATCCCATTAACATTTCAGATGATTAATCACGTATTCTTAATTTTAAAGTATCATTAAAATTCAATTATTTGGTTTCAAAACCAATGTATATCCATTATAGAGGTTTAATGATAATATCATATTAGATTTGTAAATTTGCTATGTTTCTTTAAAGTTAACAAAACTTTCCAAAATAGCCAGACTTGCATAAACACTACTTGTTAATTGAATTACATGTATTACCTTGTTGAATACAAAAGGAAGAGCATTCTCCAGATTGATTCTTGATTATGATTGAGAAATTGGAATATTGATTAAATGATTGATTTAAGTACCCAGCATATATGTACAAATCTATAGCAGACTCAGTGAATATGACATGAATATCATTATTTGTAATGAATGATTCATGATCATAATTTATAGACTATATTTAATCCTATCCTTCTACATAATATATATTTTCAAATTTTTTATTAGATGATGCTAAAATAAATGGTTGATTTAAATGTGAATGTAATGTTACTTGAATTTCGAGTGCAGATTAGTTAAAAAGGTAAAGAAAATTAGTTTAGTTTTGTTATGCTTAACACAATAGGATTTATAAAATAATAAATAACATTAATAATTCAAAGAAATATTTATTAAGTTTATAAATTTTCTAAAAATTGTTTAAATTCTTGCATATTTTTATTAGCCCCTTCTAATGTCTCCTTAATTTGATTCCAATTTTAAGATTTCTGACTATTATGAAATTTATTGCATTTATATAAATTAGGTTCAGTCTTTAATTTTGGAGTCAAATCTCTATTCAAAATATTCCCCAAAGGTTTTCTAGAAGATTAAGGTTACTGATCCTGTTTTAGTTTTTACAAAACTTATTAAGACTTTCTATTAAATCAAAAATCAATTACAATATTAAATTTATCCAATCTAGGTAATGGCCCATCTGGAGGTATTCCTCTAAAAGGTTTATCTAATTATTAATTTATAGTCATTTCTAATAAAACACGTGCATAAAATAAAGAATTCTATTTCCAAATAAAATTGTGAGTTGGTGTTCTCACTTTATCTAACCATTACAATATTCTTATTTTAAGATGTTTATCATTAATCTTTTAACAATTACTATAGATCTTGTTGATAGTATTACTTAATTCTTAATCAAGAGTTTCTGCTCTTGGAGAATTCATTAATTTAACGGATAATATTAATAATTTATCAATCCTCTACGATCCAATTCCTCTACAATATAGTTATTAAAAATCTCTTCATTTGGTATTTCTAAGGGTAATGGTCTCAATAATAAAGCCAATCCTTTTTTTTGACTTTCATGATATACTTTTCGAAAAGCATCAAAATCTTAATTCCATTTCTGTAACACATTAGTAAATAATTTCTTATATATAAACATTATAAATTATCTATTAAAATGATAATAATAAATTCTATACTAATCATGAATTAAATAATGAAGTGGATCTCTTTTATTTTTATTCTTTTCTTACTACTACTATTATTATAGAGGTAGTTGTTAGATTGATTATTATTTCATCTTCATAATATCACTATAGATCTATTTACATTAATGAGATATGGCTATCTTCATCTATTACATGAATTCCAATCTTTTGTTCTTATGTCTAACCAGCATGTTTATACATTTTTTAACTAAATCCAAATCATCAATTACTTAGATTAACTGTATGTAAGCCTTTTGTAACTGTATTATAACTTCTGATATTTTATCTTAGAATTTCAATTATTATATTATAACTCTTCTATTTAATTTTATCTTTTTGATTATTAATGCAATTCTACATACTCATTTTACAAAGTAATAAGGTTCTTAATTTTATTTTTGGTCCTAAATGTAGAATGTTATTTTTTATTTTGTTGATGAATTACATTGTCAATATTTATTTCCTCATATTCTTTTCTGATATACGTTTTTGTACTTTAATATAATTACTAATTGATGGTACTATTTAATTTACTAAAATAATAATCTAAATCCATTTCTTACAAATCCATTCTTTATGCATTTATCTATATTAATAAATATAATCTAATACTTAAGTTGAATATTCATCTATTTTTATTTGATTTCTTTGGCAACATCATGTAATGCTATTTAAGCAATTCTTTTTAAACTTTATTCCTTTTATATGATTGTTTATTTAAATTTTATTTCTTTTAATCTCTCAGTATTACAAGGAGATTCAATTCTTTATTTTCTAGGCAATGATCTATTAAGATTGATGAAATTTAGAGATTTCTATCTCAATTTTCTTTTTCGAATTATTAAATCAGCTAACTCTTCAATATCTGAACATAATTCATCCTTTTTTTTTATTTAAGGCATTTTTCTAGGTAATGGAGGTTTAGCAAATTCATTTTTTATAGTAATAACAACATCATTATGTGCTAATATAGCAACATAAAGTGTAGGATCAAAAAAAGTTGTACCTTCTCTAGAGTGATATTTGAGGACTCGACCATATGTTTCGATTTCTGCATTGAAACGATTGGGTTATTAAAATTTAACAGAACAAAATAATCTCATTTTTGTATTAGGATCACCTTTTTTTACATAGATGAATAAGACTACAGGTGAATATTTTTCATGAATATCTAAAGATGTATATAAGAATTGATTTCTGTAAAGTGTTAAGGTTGTTTCTCCCCAAACATCTAATTTATTATTCTAAATAAAGTGTTTCTTTCTACTAGGTAATTCTCTTTAAGTTAGATTATATTCTTTAATATCAAAGGCTCGATGGCTGAATTGATCAAGTAAAGCAAACTTGTTATTTAGATTTAGTTTCTCCTCACTTAATATACGAGAATCCAAAATAATTGAATCTGCTGCACTTGGAGGTTCAGTTGTGAAAATTGAAGGAACAACAGATTTTAGATGTTTAGGTTTATAATATAACATATAATTATCAGTCTATTTTATTTTCTCTTTCTTCTTGTCTGCTAAGTTCAATGAATTTATCTTCTACTCTTTTATAGAGTTCATTGTACTCTTTGAATATAACTTTACAAATTCTATATGCTTTTCTATAATAGCCAGTGTTTCCAACTTTAAGTTTGACATCTGTAATTTTATCTTAATTCATTAATGCTTCTTTCTTAGCTCCCTATTTAATTTGCATTTAAGTATCAAAATCTAATATAAATGTTTATTTTCTAATTAATCTTTATTATTTCATAGAAGTTCTCTCTTATTATTTTTTATCTGTAAATTTTTATAATTTTTATAACAAATACACTTCGAATCCATTATTTTTGTAATCATCAAAGTACTTACCTAATTACTCATTACGCAAATAAATTTGAAGAGTAATCTTATATCTCTGTTCATAAGATAAAGAGTTAAATAGACTATTAGAAGGACATTCTAGAATGATTTTGATATTATCTTCTTATACTCTTTCTAGATTTTCACAGAGTACGGCATAACCTTCATAAATCATTACACCATATGGATGTTCACATGTGGGACACAACTAAAAAATAAATAATAAAAATATATATACTTTTTCTAGATTAGCTAATGATCTATCTAACATGATTTATGCTTAATATAATCTATTAGCTATAAATGCTATTCTATATTATAGTATATCACAATAAACAATACTAAAATGTTCACTTACATTTACTGAATTAAAGTAATCTTTATAGAATCTATAACATTAATCTAACAAATCAAAAACCCATTAAGTAATAAGTGTTTCACTTAATCTTTCTTCAATATCATCTGGAGTATAAAATTTATAGGGTAAATGAGATTTGTAAATATAAGGTTCAAAGAATTCTGCTTCTCTTCTTGTAAAGAAATAATGACTTTTGAATGCCATTTTAAATGTTTAGAATCCATTAAATCCTCTTTCTCTATGCATAAGTATGAATTCAGCATAGATCATAAGAGCATCAACATATAGTATACTTTTTCTGCCCATAGTTTTACGAATCTTTTCTAGTATTCTAATAATAGATTAGAATAATCTATGTAAATCTGTATCTTTTTCATACATTCTACTATAATATTTATAGATTCTGCATCTTGATCTTAAAGTAAAATAATGATTAAATTGATTAAGTAAATCTAAAATAAGACTATCATTTGTAAATTTATCACGAAAAGATGCAGTAACATTTTAGACTGGTAATTTTAGATCTTCATAAAGGTTTTTTTAATCTAAATATCTTCTGGCAGCTCTTTCAAAGAAAATAGATGCACGATTAGTTTATCTAATAAATAAGAAATAGGTGCCAATTGCATATTCAAAATATGTTCTAGCATAATCTTCTTGAATACTTAATTTAACATAATGATTATATAACATTTAAAATTAATTATGTGCTTCTTTATACATTCCAACTAATGCATAATATTCTAATAGTTTCCATTCACATTAATAATAGATTAATTTATATTTTTAAAATGCTTCTAATTATTTTGGTTTTGCATAATCTAATATATTTAAAGCATGATCATCCCAAATAATTTTAGTAGTAGGAAATTCATTCATTTTTAATTTAGATTATTCAGCAGTACTTGTAACTATATCAACACATGATATTAAAGCTGCTTTTCTTGTTTTTAATAATTATGGACCACATGAAAATATATTCAAAAATAATTTCATTATAGCAACTTTACATTTTGCTCCCAATAGATTTGGATCATCATTTTCCATTTTTTAAGAAAATACTTATTATACTTATCTACTAAATCTTTCATCATATAAAATTAATGCATATTAAACATCTAAACATTTTAAAGCTGCAATAGGATCTCCACTTTCTTCTAATAATTAAGATTATACTACAAAAAGATCATTTAAACAAATTGATTTCTTTTCCATTTATCTTTTATCTACTGGAATTGAAATATCTTTATAATCAATCAATTCTTTCTATTTTATTTTATCTTCTATATCACATATTTCTGAAAGTAGATTTAAAGATAAATCTTATAAATATTAATTCAATGTAGTTAAAATAAAAAACTTTATTTCAAAATTCTTATCAATATAATCATTATTCTCTTTATCTTTATATTCTTCTAATAATAATTTTACAAAGAAGATCTTAAATTATTATAATAATTATCTACAATCATATTTTTAAGATGCAATTTCAATTAATTTAAATGCTAATTTACATACTAATTATGCATATAAATTATTTAGATCAAATACAAATGTTATAAATAAATTCTTCCATGATAAATCATTTAATTAAAATTTAACATCATGTTATAATTCAATCATTTTATTATTTTTCATTTACCATGCATCTATTAATTTATCTATATTACATTTAGTATTATCTAATACACCTTTTGCTTATGAATATTTCTATTTTGTAAATAATTATTTAGCAATTAAAAAATGATATCTATTTCTTAATTATTATTCATTTATTTCTAAATAAAGTTCATAATCCATATCCATTTATAAATTACATTCTAATTCAAAATATAATTAACTCAAATAATCATGTTATCTTGAAAATGATTTTGGTAAATGTAAATATGATTTCTTTAAAAGTCTTTATTCTCCTACTTCTGAATTCTTATCATATTATGTTATCATTCCATAATTAATCATACCTAATTATAAATTTATTATTTATAACAATTTAAATTATAAATAATCAATTATAAATAGATTTTTATCATTATATTCATACAGAATTTATAAATAATCTTCAACAAAATGTATATTATAATTATAGTATAAAAGATTGATACAACATTCCAAATTTTATAATCCAATCAAAACTAATTCTTTATGTTTACTTTATGTTTATTTATATTTTTGAATCCAATAATTTAAATAATCATAATTATTTTAATAATGATCTTAACACCATTAAGTTTAAGATTGTAATGTCAATGTTTCTTAATGAACCAATTATTCAAATAAACATTACTAATCTGAAGGTTTAATAATAATACATTTCTTCATTGCTTCATGATATTATTCATTTTCAAGATATAATTTAATCAATAGATTACTTATTTTTAAATTATAATATTCATATTGACAATCCAATTTACTCAAATATTAAATACATTATACTCTATCTTTCTATATTCTACCAATATTAATATGTATAATTAATTATCTTAAGGGATTATTACAGAATCTTAAAGCTTTATTAAATAATTCAATTGCATAAGAAGAATTCTATTTAAACATTTCTCCATAAGCTTATAGAAATATAAATTTAAGTCTTATTTATTCTAATTTCTTATGCAAAGCTTCATAATTATCTTTTTATACTCTTAATCGTTTTCTGATTAATAATTTATCACTTTGTTAATCAAAATCATCAAGAATACTAGGAGATGAGTATCTCTCAATCTTATTTATGAATTAATAGATATCACTTAGATTTGGCTAATAAGATATAGAATATATTCCTTATAATGTCAAATTATTAAAGAAATAATAAAGTTATTTATAAAATTCATATTAAATGAAATCTAACATTAATTTTTAATGATGTGCTTTATCACAATAAAAAGCAAAATTCTTAGTTATATGAGTCATATAAAATTCATTATTATAAATACTTTAAGCAATAGTTTCAGTAACAGTTAATTCTGATTAAAATTATTTAAATAATTTAAATTTATATAACATATCCATTTTAAATAATTATTGAGATAAGACTTGATGTAATTTTTATGTTTCTAATTAATTTGATAATTCATTTTGATCATATAATTTTAAATCTTAATAATTGATATCAGTAATTTTTGAATCTTCAATTAATTATTATGATAATCTTTCATTTTCTAAAAATAATTCTTCATTTTCACATTCTGTTTTACATAATTATTTAAAATAATTGTATGGTTTTCTTTAATTTTCAGATAATAACATATCTTAAATTATAGTAAATACAATAGGATATTTATTCATTAATCTTGCTTAATGTTCAATTAAATAATCTTTATTAGTTTCAATCTTACCTAAAGTCATCATATATACAACAATCATGGCTGCATTATATACCATTTTTGATAAATTATTATTTGATTCTTCATTAGGTAAAAATAGTTTCTCTTTTTCAATATCTCTATTTCCACACATCATCCAATGAAAAGTATATCCAATTTAATTTTTATTTCTATTTGCATATATGGATTTAGGAGTAATTACTTTTTTATCTTTCCAATTAGGAATTGAATTTAATAAATTAAGTAAAAATAATAATAATTCTTTTTTCTTATAAGTCATATTTACTGATTATCTAAATTTAATTGTATCAAACAAAGTCCATCCATTTAATAATTCATATCTTGAATCTAAAATTTTACCTACAACTCCTTTACTTTATGGAAAATAAAAGTGATCAAACATTGTAAATTCTTATAATATTAAATCTTCAAATAATACATTTTTATGTTGTAAATCAATTTCAATTACTTCCAATATTTTTAATTAATATTATTAAAGTATTAACCAAACTTCTTTCTATTTATCTTTCTCAATCATTTTTATCATCTTAAAATCAAGATTTCTCATTTAAGCCTTTTAATTTTATATAAATAAACATTTTAATTCTTCTTAATCTAAATATAAATAATTAGGAACTTCTTAATGATATAATTAACTTTATATTTATTCAATCTTTCTAGTTTTTAATGAATATAATTCTTCTATACTTCTAACTAATTCTGATTTATATGGATTTACTTATACATATTAATCTCTAGATTATATTAATAATTTTAAAATCTCTTAAGAACTACTCTTACTAATATCTAAACAAGATATCTCTTCAAATATTCTAGGTCTATCTTTAATAAGTTTATCTTTATTAATTTTTATCATTTATATTGGAATAAGTCTTTAATTTAATTTTAATTTACTAAGTTTTTAATCTAATCTTTTCAAATGTTCAATCATATCTTTTGCTCTTAAAATTGGAACTTATCTACGAAATTATCCAAACCAAACACCTTTACTCTTCAATATTGCAACATTTTTCACTTATTATAATGCTTTCTTTTTAGCTAATTAATTAATCCTTGCAGTTTTCTACTCTCTATCATTATTATCTTCCATCAAACCAGCTTCTCTCTTATCCTCTTATATACGTTTATATCTATTAAATAATTATCTATAACTTTCAATGAATACTTTCAATTTTCTTATATTTAAATACTTATATAAAATATATTTTCTTTTTTAATACAATCTTCTATATATTAATCTTTATTCACACCATTTAAGTGTATAATATTTCTCAAAAAATCTTAATAATTTCTTTAATCTAGCTATTTTATCATCAAATTCTTTTTAAGCATGAGCAATCTCAAATTTCTTATAAGGAAAATCAAAATTATGAATATTCTTTCTCATTATTATTTATCTCCTCTTTACTAATATTATTTCAGGCATTCCTGTTTCTCTTTATGAATCATCCTCCTTTTATTTCTTAGCTACTTCTATTTATGATTCATCATCATCTTCATCATCCTCCTCCTCCTCTTATATCAATTACTTCTATTTCTTTTCCACTTTTAAAATAGTTCCATAAGGTTTAAACAATACATATCTTGATAGAGTATTTCTATCAGATTTTAATCTCTTCATTTTACTTGTCTTCTTTTTAAAATGTTCTATTGTTGATTTCAATAAATAAGTTTATCGTTTCATTATTGATATAAATTCATAAGTTGCTTCAGGAATTAATCCTTCCAATATAAATCTAAGAGCAAATGCTATCAATATAATTATCAAAAACATAGTAACATCCTTAATCAATGGAGGAGTAGGTCCATTTCTATCTGGATGTAATTTACCCATCAAAAATACAACACCTGTATTAAAGATTATACTAAAATTTGCTAAGAATTCCAATAATAAACTCCATATGCCAATACTTTATTCATCCAAAGGAACTGGTCTTTATGAATATTTAATTAATTTTATCTTATCTGTCTACATTTCTAAAGCATTCCAAACAAAACCTATGAACATGGAAGCAGGAAATAAAGGTGCAAACAATCCCAATAATCCAGATTAAATAATTATTTCCATATAATCATCTACTGTTCCATATCTATCTACAGATTTAAAATAACTATCCTTTTATGCCTCTTTTTCTACATAATAATTAATAATTCCATAATCATCCATTGATTCTGGCTCCTCTTTTGTTCGATTCATTATTTTATTAATCACTGGAGTCAATACTTCCTTTATATTGAATACAAATAATATGATAAATAAACTAGAGAAAAAATATTTAGCATTCAAATTACAATCACCATAAGCACAATCAATACCCAATTCTTCATTTAAAAATGCTATCATAAAAATAGGTGCAAAATAAGATAATAACATTAAAGTGAATTTCTTTATTATAAAATTTGCTTCAAAATCAGCTACTGTTTAATGATTTTCTTAATCTGTCATACTCTCTGCTAATCTTTCATATATATATTCAAAGATATTTAATATTATAACATTTATACTACAAGGAATACTTACTTCCAATTTTAAAAAGTTTAATCTCTCCAAACTAGTAAATATATCATATTCATAAAAGTATTTTGTCATATAAAATAATCCTATTACACTTGCTATATATATACTAAATACTAATCCTAATATCAATCCATTTTTTAACATATGAATAAGTAATTTACTCAAAGGATAATATAAAGTATTAGCTTCATCATTACAAGGATCACGTCTATATTCTCCTTGAAATGCTGGTCTTTACTCTTATTATTCATTTCCTTATTTAATATTCTAAGCAAATTAAGCCACTATCTATTTCTCTTTTAATTTCCAAGAACCTAACATTAATGTTAAAAATGATGAATGTAATATTCCAAACATCATTCCAATAATAATAGATACTCTAGGTTCTGTTAAAGATTATATAATTGTGCAAATTAATCCAATTAAACCTGGAATTAATAAACTTTTTGTATAATGTCCTAAAAATGTAAAATAAAGAGCAATCTTTTCTCCATAATATTCTCTAACTTCATCTGATGGTACATGCCATATTTCACCCAATCTAACTTTCCAAATCTCTTCCAAATTATGTAATTTAGGTTTCACAAATAAACTCTCTGCAATCATAAATTTCTCTTATAATAATCTTATATATTCTTAAGCATCTGAACTTAATGTCTATGAAAATCCTTTAGGATCATTCTAAAAAAATCTTTTATTACTTAATCCATTTAATTCATATTAATCATTTAAACCAAATATTTATTCCAAATATTATTTATTAAATACATATGGTATATTTATAGCTTAATTAACTAAATAATTAGCTAATTTAATTCTTTCCATTATTGAAAATACAGATATTCTACCACTCTCACTCACTTAATATTTCTTCCAAATTGTATTGATCCTACTCTTTTTCTTATATGAAAATCTCCTTCCTGATACAGTATATTCACTTGAAATGGCTATGTTATATAATTCTCCAAATGAAAAATCCCAAATACATTTTAATAAATTACCCTTAGCATTATTTATAATCTACATTCCATCTCTCATGGCTGTACCATAAGCCTATGCTAATAATCCCCTTTATCTTTCTTTCAAGAATTTTGTGCATATAGAATTCCATTTAAGATGAAATACTTTTTTCATATTCAAAAATTATTATTATTCCTCTTATATTTAATCTTTCCAAATTTCTTCTTCCTTTTCCATATATGTCAAAAATAAACATTCAATCAATTATTATTTCATGGATTCATAATACACTGGATTTTTATCTCTTGTTAATGTAAATTGTTTTTAGTCTACTTTCTCTGGTATTTCCTTCATCTAAATACATATTTAATCTATTATTTTCTTTTCAGCAGAATCTTCATTAGAAGCTACTAATTTTTTAAGATTAATTTCAGCATCTTCTTCATCATCAAAGTAATGTTAAATTTATTTTAAATAAGTTTCAATATTAGTTTCTTTTTCATTAATATCTAAATTTAATTAATTTCTAACAAGATGTTATAAAATTTTGAGTAATATAGAATTAAAATCTTTTGAATAAGTATCACAAATAATGAGAGGATTTTCATTATATTATTTAATATTTTAATTTTTCTTAGTAGTTTTAGGAATAAACTTTTTTCTTTAATAAGAGAAATATCTTTTGATTTATTATTCTTATTTAATAGTTCTATCTTAATCATTTAAATCAATTAATTAATTAATATCAATATTACTTTTATCATTTTTCTTTGTTACTCTTCTTAATTATGCTTTAGTAATAATTTTAGTTTCTTATTTTTTCTCTTTTTTTTTTGCAATAGATGGATTCATTAATACTGCAAAATCTAATTTAAAATAAAACTTTTCTCTTGCTTCAGTTACTCTTTATTCCAAATATACTAAATATTCATAATATGCTTCCCATAATTCATCAGAAGGTCCTTCCTCATCTCCTATTAAATCTCTTTATCCATAATCAAACATTTAATCATTAAGATTTTATATATGTAATTCTTTAGCCATTTTTTTAAAATTAATTTTTTTGAGTAAATTTATAATCTTAGGTTTAATGTATTAAAAATAACTACTTTAATTCATATCCATATCATTTCTCCAAAGACGATTATTCAATCTTAAAGGACGATAATTTTAATCAATAGGTTCAAGAGATAATAAATCTGTAAATTCTAAATTAAGAAATTTTCTCATTTTAATTTATTAAGCAACTAAAGAAATATTAGCTTCTGCACAATAAAGAATAGCAAATATTGATTTATTATTTGTAGATACAAATGTTCTCATTTTGAATCCCTTTTAACTTAATCTTAAAAGTATTAAATTACGAACTAATGTATAGAAATCTTTAACTTTATGATGAGTACGTTATAAACCTCCTGCTGTTTTTATAATAAATTTTCCTCTTGTTAATATCTTTTTCTTAAGAATAGTTGAAAATCCCTTTCTTTTTTCTCTATTCTTACTAACTTTAAAGTTTTTATTTAAACTATTCATTACTTTATTTCTTACCATCTCAATAAACTCTATATATTCTCCTTAAATATGTAATTACTCATCTTCTTTAAAGAACAACTTGATTGCAGCAATTAGATTTTGAGTAGAGAATTAATTAGAGTATGCTAATTTATTAGGACCCAAATCATCTTATTTTGAATCTGCTAATTAAGAATATGCATATTAAAAAGCCATTGAAAGTATCTCATAATCTAATTATTCTGTTTTAAATTCAATTGAACATCTAGTTCCTATCCCTTATTATAGAAACTCTAATGCTTCCATATATGAAATTGTTGCATATGGCATTTCATCTGGATTTGGAAATTATAAGACTACATCTCCCATACAATAATCTTTTTCTGTTAAATATTGACTTGGATCATTCATTACCATTTTTATATAATCTTATTCAGGCATTTTATAATGTTCAGATTGATTTCCTTGAATTTTGTATATATTAAATTTGCTATACTCTAAAAATTACTTATGTTCATCTTCATTCACTTCATCCCCTAATAGATATTTAATATAAATGCTCATAATATTGAAGATATTATTAAATTTCCTTTGACGCCGTTCATCTCGATTTAATTTTTCTTCTTCTCTAATCATTTATATATTATAAAATTATAGTTTATTTCATATCAAATTTGCTCTTTCATTTTTCAAATTATTTATACTATATCAACTATTTATTAAATAAATGTTAAATCTCTAAAATGCTTTTGATTTTGAATAAGATGTAGAATTAAGAGCAGTCTAAAATGATGATTTTGAATAATAATATTTGGGTTAATGTTTAAGAGAAACAAAAAAAGAATTTACATTAATCTTACCTCAAATAGCTAGTAGAACATTAAGTGCAAAAAGTCTTGAGGCAAAATATTTACATAGTCCCAAATCACCAGAATCAAATAATGATGAAAACTTTCTAGCTTCCAATATCTAAACACCAAAGGAACCAATATTTAATACTAAATTAGTAGATAGAAGGAGAAGTTAAACAAATGCTGAATCTAGTTTTATGTCTTTATTTTTTATTGGAAGATTTGTTGAAAAACTCTCTTTAAATAGAAAATAATTGGGTAGTCTTAATGATTCTCATTTCAATTTAATTGGAGATAAAGCATCAGATTCGTATATAAATATAATTATGATAGATAAAACATATTTATGCATTCAAAACGTATGAAATCTGCTGGATTTAATATTAAAAAGATGTAGACACTATTAAAAAAAGAAACTGAAATTAAAGATACAACAACATTAGAATAAGTAAAAGAAGATTTGAAGAAACTTCGTAAACCACTTTTTAATTGTTTAAATGCTATTATCAATAAAATACCTATAATTTAACCAGAATCATTATTCAAAATGTATTGGGATTTCTTTACATCCATTTTTAGAATTTTACTTTTAATTCTTGTACCTTTAGAAATAGCTTTTAAACCAGAAATATTATTCAATAATCTTATTTGTATTACATATGTTATTCTATTCATATTATAACTTGATTTCTTAATTAGAATAAATACATTAACTTATAAAAATGGATATGCTATAAAAGATAAATGGGATTTAGTAGTTCATTAATTAAAAAAAGAATTTCTTACAGATTTTTCAACATCTTTAATTTTAATAATATTTATGATTATTCCAGATATGAATACAAATGCTAATTTATTTTTATTAATTATTTTAGGATAACATAAATATGTATATGAAACATTTGCAAAAAGTGATTAAATTTCATATTTAACTAGACCATAAAGAGGTGTATTTGGTTTATTGAAATTTATTTTAACATTGCTTTATATTTTACATTTATTTAGTTGTATATGGTTTTATTTCAGTAGTATAAGAGTTGAAGATTCATGGATTCGTTTTAATGAAATAGAAAATAAAGATTGGGAAGAATAATATTTATAAGCACTTTATTTTGCTGTAGTCACAATGTTAACTATAGGTTATGGTGATATGGTTCCTAAAAATGCTATTGAAAAAATAGTTACTATGGTATTTGTATTGGGTGCATGTATTCATATTGATATTATTTGAATAGGTTTATGGGTATCTTATAGTGTTAATTTCATTGGTAGTATAATAGATGATATCACATAGAATTAAGTAGAAAGGAATCGTAGAATGAGAGTAATTAATAAATATATGGATTAAAGAAAGATACCATATAGTTTATAACATTAGTATTAATATAATTATTAATATTTAGAGTAAAGGAATATTTGACTTTTAGATGGAAGGAAGATGATGAAGTAGATTTAGAAATGGAATAAACATTATTAGAATAATTATCTGATGAATTAAAAGAAGAATTAGATAAATAGGCACATAAAGTATTCATTTAGAAATCAGAATTTTTGTAAAAATATTTTAGTGAAGAATTACGTAATGCATTATTTAAGTCTATTAAAAGAAAGATAATACCACCTTAGAATACTTTTTCTACAGATTTCTTGAATGAATAACATTTATGTTTTGTTGAATAAGGATTTATAGTATATTAGCATCCTGAAAGAAAATAAAGATCTAAAATGAATGCTGTAATTAATTAGGGATAATTCTTTTGTGTTAAAGATTTCATTACTAATAATCCATAAGTTGATCATTTTAAAGCTATTGGATATGTTAGTTTATTGATATTATCAAAATCTGATTTTATGGAAACATTAAAAGATTATCCTGAAGATTTTTAAAAATATTGTTAATTGAAAGAAGCTTTTACTTTGAGTTATCATCCACCAGCATTAGAAAATGGAGTATTTTGTCCTGCTTGTTTAAATTTTAAACATTCTCTTAATACTTGTCCTTAAGTTTAATATGTTCCTAATAGAGAGGCTGTTATTAAAAGACATTGTATGTCTAAATTTTAGATTTAATAACCTTATAAAAGAAGATTAGATAAATCTTAAATAGAATGGCATACAAGATTAATGAAAGATTTGGCTTAATAATATGCTTCAGTATTTTAGAATGAAAATTAATAATCAATAATAAATTAAACTAGAATTTTATTAAATTTAGAATGTGGATCAGATTCAAATTCTTCAATTGATAATGATGCAAGTTCTCCAGCATTTAAAATTCCATAAACAGCACCTATATTTTAAGCTTAACATATTCGATCTTCAAGAGTAAATAGATTAGTAGGTGATTAAAATAATAATAAAAATGAATAATAAAATAATAGAAATGAATAATAAAATAATAAAAATGATTTAAGATAAAATCTTAATAATGCTTTATAATATAGAAAATAATCCATTTTATCAGGTGCAATAGGATTAAGTAAAAGTCCTAAAAATCATAAAGATTAAAAACCTATACCATTAGTTGATGAAATCAAAGAATATGATAGTGAATTGTAAAGTAATTCAAGTGATGATAATGAAATGAATACATCTATTGATTTTTAAAAAAAGAGAGATTAAATAGTTGAAGCAATATAAGATTTTAATGATAATATGTTAGATAATATAACAAATCTCTATCATTAATTATAAAGAAATTTAGAAATAAATGAAAATGATAATATAAGTAAGAAAGCATTATCATAATTGGAACCACTCTATTGGTCATATAATTAATAAAAATTTGATGATTTTGAAATTAAAGCATCATTTGATTAATATTTTAATAAATAAAATGCTGAAGATGTTATAGTCTATGTAAAATAAGATGTTTTTGGATGGTAAACTAATATACTTTAAAAAATGAGAAAATTCATGTTGTATCCCTTTTTGTATGTTTAAAACTTCCTAAGATCAAGAAGGAATGCTAAAATGAAATCTATAACTCCTATGAAAGTTGTTGCTAAAGTAAAGAGTACTTTAGATCATTTAAAGAAAACTCTTAAATAAAAAAAGAAAACTACTTTTATTCGTTCAACTACAAAATTAAACTCTGTTGTTCCTGCTTATATTAATCCATTTTAATAATATAAAAAATGAATGTATTTATAAATCATATAAACATATTCATTTCTTAAATTCTATTATTATCATTCTTATTTTATAATTATTTATAAATCTAATCTAAATTAGAGTTTTATAGTTTTTTATGAATATTAATCTTTATTCAATATTATCCAATCAATCTTAAATTATTTTTCTCTAAATATTTAGTCAATCAATTTATTATTGCAATCAAAAAAACATAAGAAAGTAGTATAGAATAGAGTCTCCATTATTGCCAGGTAAGGATAAGGTTATGACTCAAACATAAAGATAGAGTGTACAATAACTAGAGATTAAAGATTATAATTAAATATAGAAAGACAAAAGAAAGTAGTAGTAAGTAAGAAAGATACTGAAAAGAATAGTGTATTTTTTATAAGTTGATAATAATAAATGTCATGATTTTATAAGTACATATTCTCTATCGCTTTTTCCAAATCTTAGTACATCTTCTTCCAATAATTCATAATATCTTGCAGGCTCTAATTGTTATTCATTTAAGTAAGTTCCATTTGTACTCTCTAAATCCATGGCATATGGTTTGATATAAGATAAAACTTCTCCTTAACCATTCACTTTCTTTATTTCTCTAAATTAAATAACACAATGCTATTTAGAAACAGATATGTTTTCTATTAAGATATCAACGATCTCTTTATCCTTTCCAATCAAAAATACTGATTTTCCTTTTAGAGGGATAGAAGCTTTAAAATATTATTACATATATATACGAAATGATTGTGTTCCTTTAAAAGGAAATAATTGCCAATTTGCTGTTGGAATTTTAGCATCGAAAGGAATTGTAAACTTTAAAACTTTACCATTACCTAATGCATTCTCTGCATATTAGGCTAATATTCCAGATGCTTCAAAACATGGTTTTTCTTTTATTATTTCTTGTTATTGTTGTTATGGAAATTCTTCTTTTTTAACTTCTTATTTCACTTCTTATTTCACCTCTTTTTTTTAATGATGATGCTTTCTCTTATGTTTTTTATGATTACTACTTGAACCAGAAGTAGATCTCTATTTGTGTTTACCCATTAATTAAATTTATAATCAGTAAGTATAACAAGTCATGTAAATATGTTAGACACTCAGAAGTTGCATCAACTTTCATAAATTAGTTTAAGAACTCTGTGATTAAGGTGAAATCAATTTCAAAGAGAAAAATAGACTTAAATAAGAATTCAACTCAAATAATGAAGAATTATTATATTTGATCGAAGGTACTATGATCTATAATAAATAGATATGGACAACTAAAATTTTAGATAACATCTAATAGATTATGTGAAGGCCAAACATTAAGTATTAAAAATAGCCAATTCTCCTGGAATTAGGAGAAAATCTTTACTTTCTGAATCTAGTCCTTTAATTGGTAGAAGAAGCGTATTCTCAAAGGAAAGCAAAGTAACTGAAGAGGAATTATTAAATTACATAAAATAACTTAGAGAGGCCTTAGTAGAAGTGTACCAATCAAGATCGAATGCATTAACATTATTGGTGTAAGACAATCTTAAGTCTTTGACATAATTTATTAGTAAATTACCTACTAAAAGTCCCTAACCATCATTAATATTATTATAAGAAACAAATATTGCTGATGATATTGAGTGTTACTATAAATAACTAAAGAATTAGTTTTTGAATACCCATTCTTTGTTGATTAATGATAACATTGTGTCAGTAACTTCTAATTTAGTGAATAATTTGCTTAATTGTGATGAATTTACTTTTATAAATCCATAACATGGGATTTATGAATCTGTAAAACATACTTTTCAAATTTTTAATCATGATGAATACCTTGAAGATTTAATTTCAATAACAACAAATATTAATTTACTTACAGAAAATTAGAGTAAGCTATTTGAAATGTTTTCACAATATGGTAGAACATATACATTAAGAGTTTAGGATGAATTCTTTTTTTATCATTAAAAGATATAAAAGGATAGTCTCTTGAATTTAACTTTAGAATATAATTGTTTTTAAGAAATTCTTATGTTAACTAAATTAATTTCTAAATCAATTATAGAGTCTAGAGTATAATAATTTAGTCCTATTTAAATAGGTAATATGATTTTGGATGTAGGAGTAGAATTTGTTAGATGTAGTAAATATTTATTTATTAATTAAATCATAAATTTATTAAGAACTAAATATAATATTGAAAAAGCTGAAAGTGAAATATAAGGATCATATACTTCTATTCAAAGTACTAATCCTTCTCCATCAAATAAACAAGTAAAGTTTGCTAAAATCTAATTCAAAGATGCTTTACCTATTGAAATTACTGTTATTGGTTTAAATCTGAATAAAAAGGAGGATCTATAAATATACAAAACTATTTAGAATTTATACAATAAATATTTAAAATTTATAGAATTAACATATGATAGAATTACATTTTATAAGTATTTTATAAAATCAAAAGATTCAATAATGCTTGAATTTGATAAAGAAGGTAAATTGGCCTTTTTATCACGACCTATTCCACCTTCATTGAGTCGTGAGTTTCAATTACATTATATTCATAGAGGTCATTATTATTAGATAATTCAGAATGAGAAATTACTTCATGAAATAGAATAACATTTAGAAAATTAATGGATTATTTAATAAAATGAATAATTATATGAAATCTTTTTGAAAGCTAGAAATAAAAAATTTAAAGGATTTGCTATTATCTTTTCTGAAGGATTTTTATAAACAAGAAGTTTAGAATTAGAAGCAAAGAAAATTAAATTAAGATAAGAAGCTACATAATATTTAACTAATCTTGAATATAATAATCCTGAAATCAAAAATACAATTATGTCATTTTATATGCCTTCATCAATTTAAGCTCCAAAAGTACTTATAAAAAGAAAGAAAAGTAGAATGAATGGTTTTATTGAAACTGTTTAAATAAATTTAATGGATCCATAAAGTCTTGAAATTGAACCCATTTATATGAATCATATAGATTCTTTTGAATTTAATATATTTAAAATAGAAAATAATTCAATAGAAAAATAAAGAATGGTTTATTAAATATTTTAAAGAAATAATTTTATTGAAATATTTGATATTGATAAGAATAGAATGTGTGAATTTTTAAGTGAATTAGAATATAGATATGATAAAAGAAGAAATCCATTTCATAATTATAATCATGGAGTTAATGTAATGCATAGTTGTCATGTTATCATGAATAAAATGTTATCACTTTAATAGTATTAAGATATATTTGATAATATTACAAAATTGGCACTTATTTTAGGTGGATTATGTCATGATGTTGGTCATACAGGTAGAACTAATTATTTTGAAATTAATAATTTATCTGAAAAAGCTATTAGATATCATGATAAAAATGTATTAGAATAATATCATGCAGCTACAGCACTTAAATTATTATTGAGAGAAAGAATGAATTTTTTAAAGAATATTGATTTTCGATCTTTCAGAGAAAAATTTATTTAAAATATCATCTTTACTGATAAGGCTGAACATTTTAATTTACTTAAATTTTTTGAAGCAAACAATGAAAAAGATATTAAAATAATAACAGGTATGATTATTCATACTTCTGATTTTACTGGAGGTTCTGCAAAATGGCCAATTTCAAAAGAATGGTCTTTAAGAGTTAATTAAGAATTTCAATCATAATATGAAGAAGAAGGGAGATTAGGATTACCATAATAATCATTTATGAAAGATTTACATAAAGTAAAAATATAATATAAAAATAGATGTCTGTATTATCAAAATCAGAGATAGGTTTCTATAAATTTATTGTACGTCCCTTATATGTATCATTATCTAATTTTATGGATAATTAACTTCAAGATAGAGTAGACAATATTGATGAAACAATAATTGAATGGGATCTACTTTCATCTTAGGATAATCAATAATAATGTTGAAATACTTGTTTAATTTTATATTTTTGTATTAAATATATAAATGAGCAATAATTTATTATCCAAGATAGACTTATAACAAAGTTTGGCTTACAAGTATTCTCAATAGGATACATATTATTATACAAAGTCTTTAAATGAATACATTGAAAATGCTAGATTACCACATGTAATTAATTTTCATTATGAAACTAATTGTAATGAATAAAGTGAATATTTAAGAAGAACATATGATATTCGTATTTATTATTTCATTATTTTAGATGAAATTGCTACTAAACTTACATTATTAACTGAATATTATAAGTACCATAATGAGATTCCAAGATGCTTCTTACTTAAATTGGCTGACATAATGAGCAAGTAAAAATAAGTGTTTAATTATAATAGTTATCATGATAAGAAAAGAAGAATTGAATATTTTAGAATAAAGAGAATGATTGAAAAAGAGAATAAATCAAATCCAAATTAACCTAAAAAGAAAATTGTTGGAGAAGAACCAGATGATACAGCTACATAAAAATCTGGCAAACAATATAGTAATGTCTTAAATGATATTACTGAAGTATCAAGAACAATTGATAAAATACAAACTAAACTTAATTCCATTAAATTAAATGTTGGAGATCTACAATTATTACCTTCTAATAGAGAATAAGATTAATTAGATAAATTTCTTAAATATCTTACTGAAAAGAAATAAAAAAAACAAATCCATATTATATAAACGCCTAACTCAGTATCATTAAAATTGCCTATAGGATTATCATAAAAAACAATCAAATAAGTATTATCAAGAAAAATGATTACTTAATAATCTACATAAATTACTTAATAAACAATTAATTCAAACAAATCAATCAAATAATAATCATTATATCAATAACCATCTTAAATTTAATCTTCACCAAGAATAAATATTAAATCACTACCAAAACAAATAGGTTCGTTTACTTAAAGAACAGTCAAAGAAAACGCCCTATCAAAATTATTATCTCCTTTATAAATCCAGATATTTAATACAAATAGGTATTAAATATAATTAATAATTTTAGTTAAAATTCTAATAAATGTAAAACCAGTATTTCAATATCTAAATAATTTAAAATTACTGATTCTGTTAAATCTTCAATTAAATTACATCAACACACAAAATCAGATTTCAAATTTTTCAAAAAATTATGATCCAAAAATGAATTCAATTTGTTTATGTATTCAAATTCGAATCCAAAATTAATTTATATATTATTTTATAAAACATTACTATTTATATATTTATATTTTATTTTAATACCTATTTTACTTAATTCGTAAACTTTTAGATGATATTTATCTATCTCAAAAAGATTTATTTCTAACCCTTCTTCTTCTTAAACTTCAAATCTCTTTATAACTCATCCATCAAGATAATAAAAATCTAATAAAACTTTATTATTTAGTTGATTAATTCATCTTTATTCTTGATTTTGATAATTAATTAAATCTTAATTTAAATTCTAAAATATTGTTTTATTGCGTATCAGCCAAAAGAAGTAGTATCAATGTCCTTTTGCTATGTGGTTCATTTTGATGTATATTTATTAGGCAAATTCAGTAGAAAACCAAACATAATCACAAAATTATCTATCTTCAAATTTCCCTATTATATATTTAAAATCAATCAACAATCCATCTTGTTCGAAAATTCAAAATACTTTAAAAAATCATTTAGATAGAACTCATAATCTAGATTCTATTTTTGAATTTATGAACTTAGATAAATAACAATCAGTAATTCATAGTTATAAATTATATCAGTTAAAAATTAACTTATGTAAGACACGACTATTAAAGTTTTGATTTTAAATATTAATCTTACAATTTTCTTAATTATATATTATAATTTATCTTTTCTATAAATATTATAGTATATAAGACACAAAGTATTCTTAAATTTCACTTCAATACAAAAATAAGAGAATAAATATAATATGGTTAATTTTTAAAATATCCTATAATTATATTTATTCTAATTAAGCTTAAAATAGGTGGAATTTATAAGGGAGGATAACTTTGAAACCCAAAACTTGAAAGTGAATAATTTTTTAAGAATATTTAGATAATTCAAAGATGTGTTTAAGTATCACTTTGTTAATATAAAACTATTAATTGAATAAAATGGCAATCTATATTTTATTAGAGCAAAGAAATGTTTTAATTTGCTCATGAGAAATAGAAGAGTCTTAATTTATTCAATTATAAATATAATAATTAAATATAATATATATAAATAATGTATACAAGTATAGAAAAACAAAGCTTAATATTTTAAAGCATATTAATAATATTCAAATTGTATAAGTAGAGTTGAATGATTAAGTAATATGTTTAGATCATAAAATAAATATAAAATATTATTGATGATGCATGATAAATGAATAGAAATATCATTAATCACTAATAGTAATATTTATACTAATGTAGTGGAATAGTATTTTAATCATAATCAAGCAAAAGTATTTTATATTAGGAGGGATGAATATATTTTTTAGATTGTATTGAATATAAATATGAATAGAGATAATAATAGAAGTCATATAAATTAAAAAGAACATAAAGATTGTTTAGTTTAATAAAAATAGAGATTAAGAATATTTGAAGAAAATATAGTTTGAAAATTATTGAACTCTCTTTGATTTATAGATCCCATTATATTATCATAAGTGAAGAATCTGTCAATGCCTTTCTGTTTCAAATATGTTAGGATTTAATTGTTAAAAGAATTAAAATGTTTAGAGATGATATAAATAATACAAATAATATTATTTTAACCGAATTTATTAATGAGTTTCTAAGAAATCTCTAAGCAAATAGAGGAGATGACTAATTTCCTAGTATAATTCAATAATAACTTTTTAGTTAGAATAGAGCGATGAAAATTTAGTAAACACGTCTCCTACGAATAGAGAATAAATTAATCTTATCATCCATGATCATAAAGTGAAATAGAGAATTAATAATATGTTGAAATAGAAGGTAATTTATGTTACCCTAAATATAGAGTAGACAATATCCACATTAATATTTAACTGTTGAATTATCTAGCGATGACAATTATGAAATTGAGTTGGATTAAGATGATATAAAATAAGTAACGAAATTTTAATATTCAAATTATAGGTTTGTGAAAATTTTGGAGAAGTCAAATAAGTATACACTAAACTAAATGGAGCAATAATAATTAAGTTAAATACTGTTTTTGATGCTTTTATTGTTTATAAACTATTAAACAAACATTAAATTAAAGAGTTGGATGTTACTATCAAGATTGAATTTACAACATAATAAGATCTATTGGAAATCATGGAAATATAGGACTCTAATTAATAAAAATTTACATGTCGATATGATGTTTAAATTGACAATGATAAAGAATTTTAAGTTGCTCGCAAAATTATTGGTAATTTATTTATCAAATCAATATAGGAGCTAAAGGATGTAATATGAAAAAAATTATTGATTAATGCTTAATAGATTGTGATACAAAAGAATAAGATCTTGTTAAACTCAGATTAAGAGGTAGAGGTTCAGGTTACAAAGAAGGTCCTGAAAAAAGAGAATCTTAAGAACCTTTACATTTATGTGTGTCATCAAAACATAATCATCTATTTTTGAGAGTAAAACTATTTGTAATTCAATTAGGCCTGTTAATTAGTTGAATAATTACTTTTAAAAATATATGAAGAATATAAATAATTTGGACTTAATAAAGGACGTAAATAATCACATTACACTATTAAAAGAGTTTAATAATCAATAAAACCTCAAACAAAATCTAATTTTATGCCAGAATTACCAAATTTTAATTTCTCAAATGTATTTTCATGTTTTAAGATTTTTAGAATTAATTTGTTGATTTTAACAATGAAAATATTATGGCATATTCAAACATACCTAATTAATTAATATGATGAATTAATATATCATATGTATAATTAATAAATTGTAAATTTTAATAATAATAACTCATTTTTATAATCTATAACCCCTAATTTTTAAATATCCTGGAATACCATCTTATTGTTCTAATGCCACTAATTTGGGTCCATTGGAATCTTTAATTTCTACATTAAATTAACCTAAAATTATAATTACAATATTAAATTACCATTGCCAAATAATAAAGCATAACCATCAATTTTTACAGAATGTAATTCTGCTTATCCACCTAAAATAACTGTAGAATTTGATGAAATTTCAACTTCTAAAAAAAAATTATTAAATTATCTTACTTCCTTTGATTCTTTATTTAATTTCAGAAAGAGTAACACCAAATGATGGATGTAATACAATTTTAGGTCCAAATTTAAATTCTAATCCATTATAATTTACTTCATCTGAAATTTAATCTGGAATTTAAACACCTGCAATTCTTAATAATTCTGCATTAAGCCAATAAAAGTCATTTTCTGATGAGGCTGCACATTCTAATGGTAAATTAGATTTTTATTTTGTCAATGCAGTATTAAGATCATTTTTACAAGCAGAAAAACAGAATCTTCTATTCAAAGCAGTAAATCCTACTTTATTTTGTGGTCCCAAAAGTTTAGGATAGTCTTACATCATGCATTCTAATCTAGAGGATGATTTAAATTTAGTTTTTGTAGCATCAGCATATTTTGGATTAATAAATTCAGCTATCAATCCTTTAGTTTCTTATAATACTGTTTCATATTCATTCAATGAAAACAATAAACAATTTATATTACCAGGATACTTAGAAAAACCTTATTCATCTACAGGTTCTCCACCTTAAGCTTTAACTAAGGGATCTAATTAATTATATTCAACATTTAATGTCAATCCCTTATTATTTTTATCAACCAAATAACAAATTGCACCAACAGCTTCCCCAGGTTTACGACTAACAACAATAGAATTTAATTCAAATTTATTTTCCTTACTTACTCCTAAAACAACTGGTAATGCTCTAAAAGCTTATGCATTTGTATCTTAAAAAATAAATAACCATTTTCTTCCTTCATTTTTCCATTTCTATGCTAAACCAGACATATATAACAATGTATGAATATCACCATGACCATGAGGTTTAGTATCTATTAATAATTTTCCTGGAACTTGAGCAAAATGAGCAAGATTATCCAACATTGCTGGTACTTTTTCTTATTTTATAAGAGTAACTTATTCCTTTTTTAATCCAAAATATAAATTATTTTCCAATAATTATAATGTTAATTTATGAGTATCATCAGATGTCATTATTGCAAAAGGTAACAATTTGTTTCCATGTTTTTTCTATAAATTCAGTATAAATTAACAATAATATTCTAAGTAAGTTGTATTAGTAACTAATTCTATTGGTAATGCAACTTTTATTCCATCATAACCTAATCGTTCACCTAAACCACCTGCTACTAATACAAAACATGTATCTTTAATTTCATCTATTCCTAATTATTCCAATCGAAAATATTCATCAGAATAAATATCTACATTCTGTCCTTATGGTACATGAGCAGTGTATTCAGCAAATGGGTTGACATCTTCAGAAGCATCAAGTAATAACTTTAAATATTTATGAATTTATACTTTTCTTGCTCTATTTGCATACTCTTTGATTCCTCCTGGATAATTTTTGTTAAGTTGATTTATTTGATCAATGAATTCTGTTATCTATTATTGAGTGTAGTTGTTAATATAAGTGATTAAATGTTACTAGTCGATTGAAATTAAGTATTCAATCAATTATTCTTATGTCTAAATATCTTAATTCATAATATATTTATTTACTTATTAATTGAAGGAAATCTCTACTATTTAAATACTCTACTAAAACAAAAATTAATCAATAATATAAGCTACTCATTCATTATGAAATTCTTTCATTAAAAGTTATTTTATAAAAATGTAATGTACTTAAAGTTAAATCCATTATACAAAAATTTTATAGTAATGAATAACTTGAATAAGCAGAAATACAAGAAAAGAATTTCAAATAAAAATTAACTAAATAATCCAAACATCAGCAAAGAAATTAATAAGAATCTATCCTTAATTACTCAAATAATTTATGATTTTATAATTTTATATTGAATTTCTATCAGAAGAATAATCGTACATTCTAAAAGAAACTATATTAATGATCTAAGCAAAACAATAAGTTGATAAGGATAAATAAAAAGGTATCAATTGAAATAACAAATAAATTAAAGAAAACTAAATAGAAGAAAAATTTTGATTATTTTAATTCTGTTAATGGAAATTTCATTCTTCTTGTAAATCAAACTACTAAATACTCTGGATCATATATTAATAATAAGTTAATTTATATATATTTAGATTATTATTTGATTTTATATTGAATGTACAATAATAATTTATCATTCACCTCCTGCTGATTTAGATCCTGGGGCAATAAATTATTAGATTTCATCATAAAGGACTAAAACAAGTGATGCACCTATTCCTCTAAAGAAATTAGATAATGCTCCTTTAAAGAATGCTTTTGCTCCTTCATTCTTAGCAATTTTAACTGCACAATCAAGTGTATTTTTATAAAGAACATCAGCTCTTCCTATAATAAATATATATTATTAATAAATTACCTGATTACATCATCATTCTTCTTCTAATTGTATCTAATGGATATGAAATAACACCAGCTGTTCCAGTAATAAATTAAGCAACAATGAATTTTGCTAAAATGTTACCCATCATTGGATGTCTAAAGATTGTTCCTTTTGCTGTGTCATATGTACCAAAATAGACTCCTCTATATACTACAATTCCTAAAACTGACACACCAAATCCTCTATATAATCCAATGAAACCATCTGATTTATAAACTTTACTCAAACAATCTGTCAAACCATTAAATTGTCTATCAGCCTTCTTACCAATATCTGCGGCTAATCTTGTTCTTGCAAAATCAAGTGGATAAACAACCATCAAAGATGTTGCACCAGCTGCACCACCAGATGCCATATTTCCTAAAAAGAAAAGGAATTTCTCTTTCTTTGGGTCTTAATAATATTATAATAATAAATACCAAATGGACAGAGAAGCTTCTTGTAAGCATCCTTGAATGCAAAGTTCAATGCTTATGTTGGGAAATATCTGATAACATTAGCCAAATTTCCTCTCCATAAGGCAGATAAACCCTTTATATATTTATTATATAATATACTTCTTCTTTTGGGACTCTGATGAAGCAATCAACAATACCATTGTATTTCTTGGCACCTCCTTCTTAGATTTTTTTATTGGCATCTTAGGTTTAGAGTAACAATTTGACTCTTTCAATTGGAGCAACAGCTGTCTTTGAAACAGCAGCAGAAACACCACCAATCATAAAATCTCTTAAGAAATCAGCCATTTATATGAAAAAAATAAATCTTTTTGAATTTTTGGAACAAATTTGTGCTTATATATATCACAAATAAATATATATTATATACTATTCATTTATTACCTTCTATTTTATTACACCATACTTAATATAATTTATTTAAAACCTGTTTTAAAAGCTAATTTCTTTTACATTCTCTTACATTTATATATATTAATATTACTACGTGTATTCTATTTAATTTCATCATATTATTATATATAACCTTTCATTCAAAAGATATTTTTATGATATAAAAGTTAATTTTTTACNATTTATATATATTTAGATTATTATTTGATTTTATATTGAATGTACAATAATAATTTATCATTCACCTCCTGCTGATTTAGATCCTGGGGCAATAAATTATTAGATTTCATCATAAAGGACTAAAACAAGTGATGCACCTATTCCTCTAAAGAAATTAGATAATGCTCCTTTAAAGAATGCTTTTGCTCCTTCATTCTTAGCAATTTTAACTGCACAATCAAGTGTATTTTTATAAAGAACATCAGCTCTTCCTATAATAAATATATATTATTAATAAATTACCTGATTACATCATCATTCTTCTTCTAATTGTATCTAATGGATATGAAATAACACCAGCTGTTCCAGTAATAAATTAAGCAACAATGAATTTTGCTAAAATGTTACCCATCATTGGATGTCTAAAGATTGTTCCTTTTGCTGTGTCATATGTACCAAAATAGACTCCTCTATATACTACAATTCCTAAAACTGACACACCAAATCCTCTATATAATCCAATGAAACCATCTGATTTATAAACTTTACTCAAACAATCTGTCAAACCATTAAATTGTCTATCAGCCTTCTTACCAATATCTGCGGCTAATCTTGTTCTTGCAAAATCAAGTGGATAAACAACCATCAAAGATGTTGCACCAGCTGCACCACCAGATGCCATATTTCCTAAAAAGAAAAGGAATTTCTCTTTCTTTGGGTCTTAATAATATTATAATAATAAATACCAAATGGACAGAGAAGCTTCTTGTAAGCATCCTTGAATGCAAAGTTCAATGCTTATGTTGGGAAATATCTGATAACATTAGCCAAATTTCCTCTCCATAAGGCAGATAAACCCTTTATATATTTATTATATAATATACTTCTTCTTTTGGGACTCTGATGAAGCAATCAACAATACCATTGTATTTCTTGGCACCTCCTTCTTAGATTTTTTTATTGGCATCTTAGGTTTAGAGTAACAATTTGACTCTTTCAATTGGAGCAACAGCTGTCTTTGAAACAGCAGCAGAAACACCACCAATCATAAAATCTCTTAAGAAATCAGCCATTTATATGAAAAAAATAAATCTTTTTGAATTTTTGGAACAAATTTGTGCTTATATATATCACAAATAAATATATATTATATACTATTCATTTATTACCTTCTATTTTATTACACCATACTTAATATAATTTATTTAAAACCTGTTTTAAAAGCTAATTTCTTTTACATTCTCTTACATTTATATATATTAATATTACTACGTGTATTCTATTTAATTTCATCATATTATTATATATAACCTTTCATTCAAAAGATATTTTTATGATATAAAAGTTAATTTTTTACAAACTGATTAATAAAGAAATTCTTCTTTTGATTTATTACAAGCAAAACATTAAATATTCATACTAAGTAAATGTAATATTAGTCTTAACATTTTTTTTAGCGCTTATTTCTTTTTAATTCGTTATTTTTTAATTTTATGTTAAAATGGTTTATTTGAATAATGGTATAATACTGTCACTTGCATTTTGTTATCAAAAAACCGTTTTAAAATTTGATCAGTTTTAATTCCCAAAGAACAAACTTTAAGTAAATTTGCATGAAATTTTTGTGTCTTTTCATTTTATTAATATTCCATCAATCAATTCTGGAAAATAGATTGAATCTATAATTTCATTATTTATGCAATTACCATGCATGGAACAAGAAAAGTTCTCATTAGAATTTTGGCAAATGATACTTACTAAATGAAATATTTCAATTATTACTCAGAATTTAGGTATTTAAGTTTTAGTAAGAACAAAAACTAAAAATAATATTTTTATCGAATAATTTTTTTTTAATGGTACATATAATATTAGAATTAAAAGTATGAGCAACCATCCATTCATAAGTGAATCATACATGCTTTAGAAATGATCTTTTATATAAATAATTATTTATCATAAATTTCAAATATCATCTTTCCCAAAGTAAACTATATTCTTAAATCATTTAAAATAATTTAACAACATAGAAATACTCAAATTTTATATTCCCAATTACAAAATAGTTAATATTATTATTAAGAATATAATTTAAATTATATTTAAATAAGATTAATTAAAATCTGTAATAATCTACTGTTTAAGCTGCATAACAATAATAAACTCCTTATTAGACAACTGAACCTTTAAGTCTTGATATATTTTTTTGAATTAGAATAAGAAAAATAAGATTTTATTTTAAAAATATTAATTAGCTTTAATTGGAGATTTATATGTAAGAAATAAAAATGAAATTTTACAATTAAAACTATAGATAGAGAAAAACTAATAAAAAGCAATAATTGAACATATTCCNTAAAATTAAATACTCTTAAAAAATGGATAAATCATATATATGTGTATATAAATATATATATATATATTTAGATTATTATTTGATTTTATATTGAATGTACAATAATAATTTATCATTCACCTCCTGCTGATTTAGATCCTGGGGCAATAAATTATTAGATTTCATCATAAAGGACTAAAACAAGTGATGCACCTATTCCTCTAAAGAAATTAGATAATGCTCCTTTAAAGAATGCTTTTGCTCCTTCATTCTTAGCAATTTTAACTGCACAATCAAGTGTATTTTTATAAAGAACATCAGCTCTTCCTATAATAAATATATATTATTAATAAATTACCTGATTACATCATCATTCTTCTTCTAATTGTATCTAATGGATATGAAATAACACCAGCTGTTCCAGTAATAAATTAAGCAACAATGAATTTTGCTAAAATGTTACCCATCATTGGATGTCTAAAGATTGTTCCTTTTGCTGTGTCATATGTACCAAAATAGACTCCTCTATATACTACAATTCCTAAAACTGACACACCAAATCCTCTATATAATCCAATGAAACCATCTGATTTATAAACTTTACTCAAACAATCTGTCAAACCATTAAATTGTCTATCAGCCTTCTTACCAATATCTGCGGCTAATCTTGTTCTTGCAAAATCAAGTGGATAAACAACCATCAAAGATGTTGCACCAGCTGCACCACCAGATGCCATATTTCCTAAAAAGAAAAGGAATTTCTCTTTCTTTGGGTCTTAATAATATTATAATAATAAATACCAAATGGACAGAGAAGCTTCTTGTAAGCATCCTTGAATGCAAAGTTCAATGCTTATGTTGGGAAATATCTGATAACATTAGCCAAATTTCCTCTCCATAAGGCAGATAAACCCTTTATATATTTATTATATAATATACTTCTTCTTTTGGGACTCTGATGAAGCAATCAACAATACCATTGTATTTCTTGGCACCTCCTTCTTAGATTTTTTTATTGGCATCTTAGGTTTAGAGTAACAATTTGACTCTTTCAATTGGAGCAACAGCTGTCTTTGAAACAGCAGCAGAAACACCACCAATCATAAAATCTCTTAAGAAATCAGCCATTTATATGAAAAAAATAAATCTTTTTGAATTTTTGGAACAAATTTGTGCTTATATATATCACAAATAAATATATATTATATACTATTCATTTATTACCTTCTATTTTATTACACCATACTTAATATAATTTATTTAAAACCTGTTTTAAAAGCTAATTTCTTTTACATTCTCTTACATTTATATATATTAATATTACTACAACCTTTTATTCATATTCTGCTTCAATTATTGCCTCAATCTCAAAATGAGTGAAAGAAATGTAAAGATTATTGTTCCTTTTTCTAAATATCGGTCAAAATTTTCCAAATAAAATGTAGGCGAGTAAATAGAAGTGTAACTATGAACATATTTTTTTTCTGAAAAGGATTGCCGATTTTCAAACTTTTTTAAGCAATTAAGTAATTAATTACTCTCCATCATTTAATTCTTTTTATAATCATAATATCCATCGAACATTCTATATTAATAAAGGTTTTTTACTTTGCTTGATTAATAGTGAAAATTTTTTATTTCAACAGTGATTCTAAATTTTTTATATCTCTTTGTTTCTATTAAAAAAATATTCAATATAAAAATTTATATAAAATCTTTTAGATATTATTTTTCAAATTTTTTCCTTTTCTCTACTATTTTCTAGAGTATGCTAGAACAATTTATAATGAAATTTATACAGAATTTTTAGCGATATATTTAGTCTATTGAAATTAATTTTGATTCTTAGAAAACCATAATTTTTAGGAATATGTTCAATTATTGCTTTTTATTAGTTTTTCTCTATCTATAGTTTTAATTGTAAAATTTCATTTTTATTTCTTACATATAAATCTCCAATTAAAGCTAATTAATATTTTTAAAATAAAATCTTATTTTTCTTATTCTAATTCAAAAAAATATATCAAGACTTAAAGGTTCAGTTGTCTAATAAGGAGTTTATTATTGTTATGCAGCTTAAACAGTAGATTATTACAGATTTTAATTAATCTTATTTAAATATAATTTAAATTATATTCTTAATAATAATATTAACTATTTTGTAATTGGGAATATAAAATTTGAGTATTTCTATGTTGTTAAATTATTTTAAATGATTTAAGAATATAGTTTACTTTGGGAAAGATGATATTTGAAATTTATGATAAATAATTATTTATATAAAAGATCATTTCTAAAGCATGTATGATTCACTTATGAATGGATGGTTGCTCATACTTTTAATTCTAATATTATATGTACCATTAAAAAAAAATTATTCGATAAAAATATTATTTTTAGTTTTTGTTCTTACTAAAACTTAAATACCTAAATTCTGAGTAATAATTGAAATATTTCATTTAGTAAGTATCATTTGCCAAAATTCTAATGAGAACTTTTCTTGTTCCATGCATGGTAATTGCATAAATAATGAAATTATAGATTCAATCTATTTTCCAGAATTGATTGATGGAATATTA